CTACTTACGTGAGCTATCTTAGAGAGCCTACCTAACCTCCTTCTTCTTATATTAACGCCAGCTAAACACTCGTTTAGTCCTGCCTAGTACTCTAATTGCAAAGCCCTTCTTATCTATATTATAGGTTTTCTCTAGCAGGATGTTGTATTAAGTAACTTTCTACTATAGCAACTTAAAGTACAACTTATATTTATATTAAGACTCAGCGTTATAACGATTTAAGTCTATGCTAGTAACCTACGCGTACTTTAATTACTTATAGTAACAGTAGAGGAAGCGCTAAACCTATATATCAGAGCAGGGCTGTAAGGCAACTAAGGACGCGAAGTTCTATATTATACGCCTAGTAGGTGCTAAGTAGCGCTCTAACAACTGCTGTATATACTTAACAAGATCTAATTCCTGTTAGTTGCTAAGTTTCTGTTAGTCCTTATTAGCGACGCGTTAGGGGACCTGCACGCCTCAGTGCGCGCGAGACAGCATATTACAATTAACACTATGTTTTTTTGCAAGCTTTATATATACAAGTTTTTCGCCAGGCTCTAAATTATCAATCTCTACAAGCGCATCTAATATTCCTGTCATAGTAGTTAAGTTGTTACGCGTTAAAAACTAGTATAGATATTGTTCCCTAATCATTGGTTGTTACCAATTGTTAGGTGCACAGACACGGTACAGTCTGTGCGCACCCAACAAGCTAGTTTAGTCAACAAGCCACCTAAAGCCCCGCAACCTTATAAACTATCCTAACTGCAACGCGTTATAAGTCTACAACTATGGACCTAATTTAAGAAGCGGTTGAATTTATTAAATCACGTAAGGCTAGAGATAAATTCTTATACCACTAAGTTGCAAAAATATTCAGAGTTAATCAAACAACGTTGTCGCGGAGGCACTAGGGCGCACAACAACCCTAGGGCACAGAGGTGGCCAAACATCAACAAAATCTCAACCTATAACAAGAGGATAAGCTTATTAGCTTCATAAAAGGGCAAACAAAAGATAGCATACTACCTACAAGGAGTATTTTAAAGAATTTCAGCAGCGCAGTTGCGCAGCATGAGGTTTTGGATAGCTAGGTTACCCGGTTTCAACACTATCATCCTAATAAGCTCATCTCTAAATAGGATACCAGTATAGATTATAAGCGTCACTTAGCTGACAACAAGCGTAAATATAAGTTATACTTTAACTTGCTGCACTCTAAGATGCAAGAACATAAGATTAAAGAGCGCAACACATACAATATAGATAAGAAGGGCTTCTTTATTAGCATCGCCCACCGCAGGAAGAGGATCTTCTCTAAGGCAGTTTATAAGTTAGGGGAGCGTACCGCAGCAATAAGAGATAGCAATAGAGAATAGGTAACGCTGCTAGCTTGCGTATACGCTTCTAGAGAGGCATTGCCGCCCACTCTTATCTATTAGGGCATCTCTAGGGTTCAATCAAGCTAGGTTAACAACCTGTTAGCTAAACAACACCAAATCTTCGTATCCTACTCAGCTTCAGGATGGTTAAATAATGATTTAGGACTTGCCTAGCTTCAACAGGTCTTTAAACGCTTTATGGCAGCTAAAGCTTATCAGCAATAGCGCCTTCTAATCCTTAACAGCCACGCCAGTCACCTCACACCTGATTTTTTAGAGTATTATAAAGCTAAACGCATTATAGTTATAGTATACCCACTATATTCTACACATAGTTTGCAGCTGTTAGATGTTATGCTCTTTTCGCCGCTTTTAAAGCACTATACCAAGGAGCTTACCCAGCGCCTCTAGCAGACCCAAGGCATCTCAAAGATCACTAAACGCGACTTCTACAGCAACTTTTAGCTAGCTTAGAGCTCTATAATAACTTATAATCTTATATTGAAGAGTTTCTAAGCTACAGGCGTATAGCCGATAGACGCTAACCCAGTACTTCAACGCTTTAACAACTAACTATAACAACAAGATAACAAGCTAGGAATTAGGGAGCAAGGCGACAGCAATACCTAGCCTTAACTGCGCAAAATTTTTAACGCTATAGTAGCTAATAAGGCTAAATTTAAAGCTAAACAGCTGTCCTAAGGCCTACACTTGCTGCAGGTTAACAACAAGCTTCTCCACCTCTAAAACGCGGAGCTACGCGCTAAACTCAACCTTATAAGATCCTAACTGTCTAAATTAACAACACTAACTACTTAAGAGGGCGACGATTAGCACAGCAGAGCTATATTCTATAGTCCTAGGAAGCTTACCAGCCTCTGCGCGCATAAGGCCGCAGAACTAGACAAAGCTGCAGAGCTACAACTCTAAAAAGCTCGCAATAGAGAGAGAAAAGCAGTAGAAGCAGCTAAGAAAAAGCGCTCTCAAGAAGCTGCAAAGGTAGCTCAACAACAAGCTAAAATTGCTAAGGATGCAGAGCAGTTACAGCAGCATAAGGAGAAAGCTGCCAAACAGGCACTTAAAAAGCAGCAACAACAAGCTGCAACTACTTAAAAAAGTCGCAATATAGCAAATAAGCATAAGCAAGAAGCCTTACACAAACTAGCAAAAAAACTAACAAAGCATTGTCGTGTTGTTGCTCCATCAAGTAGGGTAGTTGCCAGTCTGCCTTAGGCGCCCTCCCCACCTAGATTTAGCTTGCAAGAGCGCTAACTTAAGACGCTAGCGAGATATAAGTAGTGCAAACGCTTTAGTAGCGTTAATATATTAATACACCAAAATATCTCACAATAATAGCTATTGTAGGTAGCTTAATAACCTTATCTTTTTTGTCGTCTAATCTTATTAGGGTGGCTCGCTAACTGAACTGGCTCGTTAGGTGCGCACGGACTGTACCGTGTCCATACACGCAATGCGCGGATTCGCGCAATGCGCCGAAACCCCTAACGTGCACCTAAAAAATAAGGTTATAGAGCCACATATAATAGTTATTATTCTATAGTATTTTAGTAGAGTGTTCTATAGACCTATACAATAGTAATTGCCTATATATTCTATTTGTATAGAGTAGCAGTGCGGCCACTACAGGTAGTATAGGTGCGCGCAGGTAGAGGAGGCGTTGCAGGCTTTAGGTGACTACGCGCACCTACACTACAACGCGCAGGCTTCTATTTTACTATAGAAGCTTTTAAAGTCGCTCTATTGCCTCTTTAGGACAATTGTATAGCTTTTTTAGCGTCACAAGCTTCTTTCTAACGTTGTTTTTTAGCCTTGCGTTCAGCTGCTTCTTCTGCCTTCTTAGCTTTAACCTAGTCTCTCTCTTCCTTCTCCCTTATCTGCTGCTTACGCTTCTCCTGTTAAAGCTTTTCTTTGTATAGCTTATTTGCGTGCCTAAGTTCAGCTATCTCTGCTTTTCTAACCTCTTCTACCTCAGCTTCTTGTTGTTTTACCTACTCATACTAACGTGCTTTTTTAACCCTGTAAGGAGAGTAAAACACTGCTCCACCATAATAGTCCTTAGGTTCCTAGAAGTCAAGGGGTTTGCTCTTCTTCTTATGCTTCTTCTAAGTCTTAAGAACCTCTTTTAGGCCTGCTATCTTATGGTGGAGTAGCTAGTTTTAGACTAAGATGTGGTAGAGGGATTGGCTAATCTTCCTTAGCTCCTTACTGCTCTTATCCTTAGCTACCTTGCGCAGTAGGGTCTCTATTTTAAGCCAATCTTTGCCAGAATAAATTAAAGAAGAGCTTCTGCTAGCATCAGAGGCCTGGGGAGATGCCTTAGCAAAGCGGTGAAGGATAATGTTGGGTTAGAGGGGTGCTATACCCGTTGCCTTAAAAGATTTGAGTATCAACCCCTAAGTAAACGTGCTTATCTAGGCCTTCTAGAATAGGTGGAAGAAGTTGCTCTTCTTAATTACTAATAGTCCCTAGCCATTATAAAGGTGTGTTGTGAGCTCCTTTAAGTACGCAGTTAAGAGAGGCTTAAACATTACTACGTCAAGCGGCTGCAGCGTGTAGGTTGAGTAAGGGGGAAGGATAGCCAGGAGTATCTTATTCTGATTATAGTAGTTGATAAAGTCTATTGTTATATAGGATCCATGGCCGTCAAGGATCAGGAGGCGCCACTTCCTCCGCGCCTTGGTCTTGGTGAAGCGATCAAACACCTGTTAAAGCCAGGCAAGGCCTATATCATTGTTGGTCCAGCTAGTAGGTAAGGAGGAAACAAATACTAAGTGTACCCCTGGCTCTATCTCCTCCACCCAGCTCGATTGCAGGGTACTGTTGGCAGAGTTGTAGAGGAGACCTAGCGGCAGTGCTGTCCCATCACCGCACACACAAGCCAGCAGCGTCACCTATGCCCTATTACTATCTTAGAGTGATGCCTTAACCTCCCCCTTCTCCCACATCCGTCTACTGAAGACGTGTTTCGTCCTGGTAGTGACCCCTATCATGAAGCCCTTCTTATCTATATTATATGTGTGGCAGCTGTCAACCTTATATTTGGCAATCTTGCGTTATAGTAGGTTGAAGTAGAGCTTATACTTTTGATATGAATTGGCGTTGTGGCAATTAGCGTCTATACCCGTTGAGTATTTGGAGATGAGATGGATGGAATAGTTATTGATAAACTGAGTAACCTAGCTCTTGCTTACACGTTCCTTGGCCACAGAAGACGCGAAATTTTGTATCATCTCCCTTGTAGGAGGTATAGAATGAGCAGTAAGCTCTCCTATATAAGTTACAAGCTCCTCCTCTTGTTAGGGGGTGAGCTTCTGTTGTGCAATAATCTTCTCCTGATGCGGGCGCGTCTCACCCCTCTATGTGCGCGTTAACGTTGACCGCACAACACCATACTTTTGTGCTATTTTGGACTATAGGATCTTATCTTCAGATGCAAAAGTATCACACTCTAATAGGGCTTCTTTTAATCCCATCGCGTTGTGTTGTTGTGGATGTGTAAGAATAGAGGTGTTTTGGTGGTTTGGCGCATCACGCGAATCCGCGCATCACGCGCACGGACACGGTAGCCGGTGTTCTGCAGAAGCGATTTAAGGCTGCTACTGTTACTTCGCAACCATCGTCAAGATCTGTACGCTCCACAGAAGTGTCGACGCACCTTTCTTTGTAGCTGCACAGTTTTGCGATAACATGGATCCCAAAATTGAGCTTCCTACGCATTGGTACACTTTACCACCACCAACTCCTGTCGAAACAGCGCAAGAAACAATATCGACAAGGCCTTTCTACAAACGTCCACGCGTGATCAGCATCATCTCTGCTGTCGTTATTGCGCTCATCATCGCCATTGTCGTACCTCTAGCTGTCATTTTGCCAAAGAACAGTAAGGCAGAAGAACGTCATACCTCTATCATGCTCCCCTTGTACATCTATCCTGAGACGAATGCTACCTGGGCACCTCTCTATTCTGCGTATGTATAGATCTTCGTGAATCGATCAGCGACAAAACCACTAATACAAATCAGACTTTCGGCAAGACCGGACTTGAAATTTACTGTCATCATCAATCCAGGCAGTGGTCCTGGATCGTCACAATACCCCGACGAGAGGTACGCAGCATCCCTTGAACGGCTCGCAACCTACTCCAACGTCGAGAAGCTAGGATACGTACATACACTGTACGCCACCAGAAACTTGTCAGAAGTGATCTCCGACTTGAACGTCTACGCGGGGTGGGTATCAGGGAACCAGGCTTTCGCAATGGACGGAGTCTTCTTCGATGAATCGCCTCATGAGTTTAGTCAAGAAGCTGTAGATTTCATGCTCAGCGCATCTCAAGCCGTCAAAGACGCGCAGGGCTTCCAGGGATCAAAGCTAGTACGTAATGGCCATCAATGGCTCATTGTAATTGACGTGGCTAATTCTTGTGCCATAGGTTGTTCGCAACCCCGGCGTTGTGCCTGACAGCAGATTCACCGATTCCAACACAGACATTAGTGTGCTCTTTGAACAGACGCATGATGAGTACAAGCTGCAAGAGTCGGAGCTTTCAGCAATGAATCACGATCGAGCACACCATTGTTTCATGGTCCATTCGTTGCCGACCATGGAACAGGGCGAGATGCAAGGTTTCGTCGATACGCTTAGCAGAGGAGCTGAGTATCTCTTCGTAACAAGTAACGCGGGGCAGTATTACGAGCAATTTGGGGCTGACTGGTCTCAATTTGTCGAGACCATCGCGACGTAAGTCGCGTAAGTCGCGTTGTAAGCAGTGTACCATTCGGGTTAGATCAACCGCATCATCGCATCGCTGCTATTCTAGTTTTAGCTAGCCTCGAAAGCCCGAATAGAGTCTTGAAAAAAAGCACGGCCGGCGAATCCGAAAAGCCGAGCAGATCCGGGTTGAAACAAGTATCAACCCCGGGCGAGCGCAACAAGACCGGCATTCTTTGGCATCGGCCCAGATTCGCAGCAGGCCCACTTAGCAAGCGACGTCTGAACAAAACAGGACCAACATCCTGGTGTGTCGAGGTGCATCAGCCTAGATCAGCGGGACACTCGCTTGGCATGCGCCACCCAGCCCTGCTGTAGGTCTTGCCGTCTTTCGGAATCTTCTGCAGTCATCTTTCGGCAAGGGTCGGCAAGGATACCGGTTTTGGTACAAGTGCATGATCATGTCTATGTGCGAGGAAGTGGTCTGAGCTCTGCAGTGGGACGCAGTCTTGCCTGTAGAGTGACCATGTGACGACGCTTCTGATGCTGACAGAAAGGTGCACAGAAAGCAGCCGGAGCAGATTCGCGGAACTACGAGAAAACGGACTCCACGGTGCCGCTGGGAATCACAGATGCGAGTGCACCCTCATCAATCGGAGAATTCCGAGCAGTCAAGTCGTAGGTCCCATGGCATGAAAATACTTCTACCGAAGTTGAGACCGAGGCTGTCAAAATTGATTAATAGCCATATTACGAATTGGTGGCAAACACACATGCAAGTTTCCGCCCTCGAAATGCATTCAACCAGCGCTCCCAAAAACAGCTTGCGAGTTGCTGAGGAAGGATTCTGCGCCTCCTCCAAGTACATAGCTTGTACTGTCAGCTCAGCGTCGTCTTTGCTCACAGCTATACGCCAACTTGCAAACCAGTCAGTCTTGCATCATTCCTACAGAAGCTTGCGTCAGTGATCTGTACAAACATCGCTCATAGCCCTGTCCTTCAATGAATTCACGCACGGCGCTCACCGAACGGTCGATGCTGAATCTTGGCCAAGAAGCGCTAGATTTTCACGAAAATCATGTCTGTGTTGAGGCGGACGGTGTCAAGCCTCTTCTAGGTCGGCCGCAGTCCAGTCTGATACTCAAGGCTTAATATTTGCACACAGCTTGACAAATTCTAAAGGCTTGCCAATTGTCGCGATTGTTTGACGGAGCATCGCTTGTTGTTCTAGCGCAAGTTGCAGGTTACAAATACGGCATAGCGCGGCCCTGATGCATGTTGACACTGTCTAGTAGGGACCTGTCCAGCTACCATGTGGAATGAGGAGTCCGCAGCCCTAATCCGTACCATGTTTCACAAGCTTTGTCAGTGCATTGTTTGTCTACTCCTTCGGAAGGCGTGTATTTGCCGAATCCAATCTACCATCCCTGTGGTCTAGCCCCTCACTGTGTCAATAGTGCTCTGCACTGTGTTTCCAAGCTGTGCAAGCCATGATGGCAAGTCAGGCTGAACACTCGTTCCAGATCTTATTGCTTCGGCAAAACTCTACGGTGCATGTTACAGTCGGGTGCGAAGCGCAGAGACTATACCAGTTTGAGCAACACAGCGTTTGCAATCCCGGTGAGTTTTTCGACATTGGCGATGCAGAGCTTTTGCGCCTGGTCGCAGAACGCTTATATTCTTACCTTCTGAGACCATTATATTTAAATCATGTCCGTCCTCTGAGAGTAACTTTCAGCTTTCTTCCCTTTTTCCCAAATCAGACAACGACATTCTCGACGGTCATTACCGCAGTCAATCATTGCCAAATTTCTATTCGAGTAGACCGTCAGTGAGATGAATACCCCCGAATCAGGATCGCCTCGGTCCACCCCTAGCCTGTCGGGATCTTCAACGCCGGGGAGTGATTATGATTCATTGCTTTCGAATTCGTCACTGCTAGACGGAGGCGATGATCAATATGTGCTTGTTACCGGAGGACTTGGCTTCATCGGAAGCCATACGGTGTTAGAACTCCTGAAGAGCGGCCACAATGTCATTATCGTCGACGACCTTAGCAACAGCGAGAGCGATGTGTTCGACCGCATCCTCAGGACAGCACAACAACACTACGCTATCTTAGGAGAGATATGTCCTCAAGCATACTTCTATCGTATGGACTACCGCGATATGCAGGGGATGCAAGGTCTTCTGGAAAAGTACTCTTGGCCAAAATCGCTTTTTCCAGATTCGCGAGGAAATATCCGTTCGAAGATTACCGGCGTTATCCACTTCGCAGCCTACAAAGCTGTGGAGGAGAGCATCCGACAGCCAATGCGATACTACCACAACAACATTTCTGGACTTCTCTACTTTCTGGACCTTTTGGAGGAAGCCAATATCAAGAAGTTCATCTTCTCTTCAAGTGCTGCCGTTTATGGAACGCAAGCTGATGGGTCACAATTCCTCCGCGAAGAACACGTTACCCATGAACCTGAGACATATCTCGATGTCGACGGCAACAGCAGATCGACGGAGCCAGGGTACCAAGGGATCACCAGTCCTTATGGTAGGACAAAGTTTTTCGGTGAAGCCATTTTGTCGGACCTTGCGCGGAGCGATCCTGATTGGACAATCGTTGCACTGCGATACTTCAATCCCGTTGGTTGCGACTCCGAGGGCTTGCTGGGTGAAGACCCGAAAGGGACGCCATCCAATCTATTACCAGTCGTCACGAAGGTCCTGAAAGGCCAATTACCTGAACTGTCCATTTACGGAGGTGACTGGGACACTTTTGACGGTACGGCAATTCGTGACTACATTCACGTCTCAGATCTCGCGAATGGTCACACAGCGGCATTGACAGCAGCAAGCATGGGTCGCGTGTCTGGTTTCCGCACGTTCAACCTTGGAGTCGGGAAAGGTACCACTGTCATGGAGGTTGTACATACCATGGAGAAAGCATCGCAAGGGACCATCAACAGGAAGGTTGTTGAAAGACGGGCAGGTGATACCCAGGCTTCCATCGCGAATGCAGACCGCGCCAGGTCAGAGTTGGGTTGGTCAACAAGCAAAACACTATTCGATGCCTGCTATGACACTCTGAATCACCTCAAGCTCAAAAATGGAGTCTGAAGTAAACGAAGTTTAAGGTTTTACCGGCGTTCGCGACGATTCTCAAAGGGCGTTTGGAGTTTGATGTTGCATACCCTGTTTTTTCCCTTTAGCTAAAAGTACATTCAGTCAATAAACATACGACTAATTCCACCCTCATACATGTCTATTGCCATTTCACTGTAGAGCATCAGAATGAAATAATCGAGATAGCATGTCGCTGTCACTGATTAGCAGTTCGGCCAGATGAAAGCAATGCCTAAAAACCACGATGAGACTGTGCTGTCTGTAAATATGGGATAGTGTCATTGTTGTGTTTTCCTCGCTGTGTTACGTACTTGCGTGTGTGCTAACTTTCTTGATGACCAAGTGGCCTTCGAATTTGGTCAATCGCCAAAAGTCAGTGGCTACGGGAGACATAACTTATGGTGCTTGTAGTGCATCTGGGTAGGCTTCATTTCTTGTTACAATGTCTGATATTTCCTCGTTTCAGCATATTCCACGGGCTTCTCTGATTTGCTGAGGCTCTATCTCAATGGCGGTCAAACATTGATCTGGAGGCTACGCGCCCGCACATGGAATCGCAAAGAATCTAGCTCTTCTGATCTGATTGACAATCTACGAACTGGCCTTAGACTAGAGGGCTGCTGAACGCTACCATGCGTATGCGTGAGAGTCTTCTGTCAAGGCCAGACTCGCCCAGACCCTCAACTTGTGGACACCATTGAACAGCAGTCATGTTGTTCTCTTCCATCTCGTACAGCCCTTGGAAAAGCTCACGACTCAGAGGCTTAAGGCTCACAGGCAACACACTTGTGACCAAACGAATCCTCAGGGTCTAGAGTCAAGTGCTTGTGAATGGTTTTGATCTAGACTTATTCAAACGAAATCTAGTCATCTGCCCACGGTGCTCTCGATTTCGTTTGTTTTCAGCACCATGGCTCGCTACTTTAGACCTCAGCAGTTGATATCTCTTAGTGTTTCTGCGCCAACACAGCGAGACAGCGCGTAAGTCCCAGGCAGCCACAAAGTTGCAAATTCTTAGTAACACAAGACTTGCAGGCCTCGCCAGCCACGTCCCACAATTGAGGACTTGGCATCAGGGCGTCGTCTTCCAAAAGTTCTTCGGTTAAGGGTCCATGCGAGCTTTTGGACCGGTGAACAATTTTTGGTACAGGGCCACGCGAGGGCCCTTGCCAATTCTTGGAACGGCTGAATATTTTTCGGTTCAGGGTTGCTGCCAATTGCTGGAGCAGTTGAACAATTTTCGGTTCAGGGCCCTGCCACTATTTGGTGCAGTGGAACAGTTTTTGGTGCAGCTGAACAGTTTTTGGTTCAGGGCCCTGTCAATTTTGGTGCAGTGGAATGCCACAGCATTGCACGATCTCGCGTGCTTGAAAAAGCGGTATCAAACCAGAGGCAGATCCGAAGGCTGGGTTACATTGGGCCTCTCCGCCTTCTTGCGTGCGTGGGTCTGGGGCGATCGCACTATCGAGATTGTAGATCATACAGTTTCAGACTTTTCCCCACCGCTCAAGTCGTCACCAAACCAGTCCTAGATTGGCCTCGATCAACCACCGCAAGCTTTGACATGGGGGACTTTCGTATACTTTGTGAAAACTTTCTCGAGTATTGGTACGAGCTTGCGAAGACCCCGCTCGGTGTGTCGCTAGGTTCAACGAGCATGTTCATGACGCTGCTTTCACACTCTCAAAACCGAGACGGAACTTGGGGAGCAGGCGAGGCTTTCGGTAGCGATCGTTACTGGCCGGTGATGCCCTATCCGTTCCCAAATTACCGGTTATCTTCTGAATTTGGTCGTGCAGGCGAGTTCAATACCAAGAGCTGTCCCAGCGTGAGATTCGTGCCTGTGGCTCGACCCGTTCCCTAATCGGCAGCTGCAGCGCAGTCGAGCAGTAGTCTAGCTTGTAATCCCTTAGTCGATGCATGCATAAGCGATCGAAGGCCAAGTATTTGCCCGGGATGTCGTGGATGGTGGCACGGACGGCGCCTCAAGCTAGGAAGGCGGGGCGCAGTGCCGGCGGGGCGATCTTCCACTAGTGGGACTTGCCGGGCTTGCTCGGACGAACGCGCGAAACGTGCCTTCCGCATTTTGTAATTTTTATTGCGACACCGCGGGCTGAGGAGCGGGGGAGCGCTGACCTTGGCAAAAACAAGCTTTTCGAATTTTCCCGATGTAGGGACGTTGCAGGAGATATCTCCGCGACTGAAATGGAGCTAGGGATCTCGATCGCACTAACAAGATTTTCCCAACAATCAACGCAGCTCTCATAAAGCTAGGCTGATGGCAAGGCCGTCAGCAGCCTTGACGGAGCTGACGAGTACGGCTGAAGACCTTGGCTGCGTGCGCATAACATGATCGCACCAAAGCTGTGGGGTTGGGACAGAACTTACCAATCGCTGGCCGAGGACCCCATGATCCTGCTCGATGTGCTTGTGCAGCGCCTCCAATTATCGATTGACCTGCCGACAAAAGACTCGACACCTTGCACTGACAATCCAACCACATCTCTCCATCAGGCGAATCGGTCACTCTCCTCGCATACAACATGCAAGGATTTCATGACAACAGCGTCAGTTTTCTCTCAAAGTCGCGGCCTGGACTGGGTTGGCGCCTGGGCCAATATTGGAATTGATGAGATGGAGAAGATCCACCGCGGGGTACTTCCGCACCCTGCAAAGCGGGGCTCTGCGTTGCAGCCTACTGAAGGTCACGTATAAGCTGCCGATGCTCGATGCAATACTCCAACCCGTCACTTTAGTCTTCCATCAGGGAAAGTCAACAAGATCCATGGAAGATATGTTTCGACTTTTGTTTACAGGGATAAATTAAAATATGCTATGCAATACTCTCTAGAATTATGGATTTTTCAATGGCGTTGTAGCCACCTCTGAGTTGCAGTATTCTACCCAGCCGTCAAGGTTCATATTCTTAAGCACCGTACTAAATCCCTCAGTGTTCGCTTCTCGGTCTTTACCACATGACTTATTGACGAGATTCGCCTGTAAGCTGGTGTCGGAATTGTCATTCTCGTTAGGGTATTCAATGTGAAACACTGGTTTGCCAGCCTCGATGAATTTTTGGAACTGCTCGCACTCGCTGTATTGAACACACTGTTCATTGACCGAGAAGTTCACGAAAGGTAGGACGGCTGGTATGATACGACCCGCGTTCTTGAGTCCGAGTGTTAGATTCAGAGGGTGTGCAACCGAAGATAGATATTCCATAAGAGAGACTGAATGATCTGTGGTCAATCCCAGTCCGTTGTCATTATCCTGTAGTCTAATCAGTGGGCAGTCAGCATATCAGGTCCTAGAGACTTACATATCCATCAACGTTATCGGGATCTACACCATCGCATCTCTTCTCTCCAGCTAATTCTACCCTGCTCTTCATGATAGCACGCACACTCTCGCTGCTGATGTTCAGCCATGTCTCTCCCGGCCAGCCGTCTAACTCTTTCCCTTTATCTGCTGCTCGAAAGCTCCCCGCATCTGGCCGCCAGTTTTCAAAACTGCCTGCACTGAAGTAGCAGATGACTTTCTTGCCGAGGCCATGTAGTACTTCGATGGTCTCTGTGGGTGTGTCGAACAAGTCGACATCGAAGATAGTCACATCTGGTGTGGTGGAGCTGACACCAGCGGCAAAGACTGGTGGCCGCAAGAGGGTGATTTGCCATGTATCGTTCACATTTGGCGTCCAGGGGAGGGCTGCCATTTCCGGGGGTGTTGAGGTCTGCGGTGGGTCCGATTGACCTGAGATATCGTCGTCGTCGTCACTGTCTCGTCCAATACTAAGACCCAGCCCAACGCCCAACGCGAGGCCAAGCACTACGATCGCGATGGCGGCTCCTATGAGTACCTTCCTACGCGAGATACGTTTCTGCGGCCTTGATGCAGCTTTCTCCTCGGGCAATACAGAAGTCTTCATAGTAGTCTGCTGTTGATGTTTTGGGATCGTCTTGAGCGCGGGATAGGATGTAGGCCATGCAAGGGTTCTCGCCCTTCAGCTCGAGGCAGTAACACAAATTTCGACGCCGTGCAATCGTGTACGTGGATGTTTCGACCCCGGAGGAACCTCGGTACCGCTGTAGTGGTAGTGCTTATGTCCAATTGGCGGGCCAGACCACGTAAGCGAGCACAGCCGAAAGCACTGAACGAATGAAATGGAATCATCGGTAGCAGCTTGTCTGAATCCAGGTAAGGGTGCAGAATCATCCGGTCCTTTCGTCATGATTTTGCCAATCGCCAAGATGTGAAATACTGGTTTTCTAAAATAGCGCGTACCATGCAAGGCTGAACTTCGCGCGACTCAAATACAGGGGCGCACCAATCGGCATGGGCTAGTCTAGACGTTCTTTGTTGCGAAGCCGCTCCTAGTTTCCGAAGCCGGGACTGCGGGGTTTGACAAGACGCAGCCACGAGGCGATCGACGCGCGCTTGTCTAGCCTGTCTCGGCGCCAAGACGCTATCGGCTTTTTAGTCCGGCTTCAAGAGGTGGGAATACGTGCTCCAGGACGCTGCCGCAAGGCGATCAAACTCGAACGCTCCACGTCAACGAATGATGCATCCTTGATCCGTTGTGGAATTCGTGGACTCAGAGAAAGGAAGGAGCCTCATACTGCATTTCATTTTCAAACGCAAAACTTTGTCAGCCTGCGTCAATCCCCGATTTGCAGGGACCGGCTCGACATGCCACTGGGAATATGCAGAGAGATGCTCTGTCGTACTTTACCTACAGTCACCGTCCCTTTGTACATATATCCTGGCCCAGGGTCTTGGAACCCACTGCACGTCGCAATCGCGACAAACCCTGGCCTGCACTTCTGTATCATCATCAACCCAAGCAATGGCCCAGGTAGTCCTGTGCCGGATGCAAATTACATTGCCGAAGTTGCTCGCCTGAGAGCGCCAGCCAATACTACGCTCTTTGGCTACGTCCATATGACTTGGGGTCAGCGCGACTACAATCACGTGGTCGCGGACATTTCCACCTGGGCAGCTTGGGCTGGCTATCCCGAGTGCGACATCCATGTCGACGGCATCTTCGTTGACGAAGCTCCAAGCAGTGTTGCGTTCCTAAAGTACATGAAAGGTTTGAAGCAACACGCCAGAACTGTGTTTTCTGGGAACGCTATACTTTGGACAAACCCTGGTGTTCCTGTGGACAGCGCATTCTATGCCGAAGCGGATATCATCAATGCTTGCGAGAACAGCCATGATCACTACACGCGCCAGAAGTTGATATCCTCTGTACCGATGTCCTTACGCTCAAAGACCTCTTTGATGATTCATCACTATACTAGGTCGACAAAACAGCTCCGTCTGGACGTGGAAGCCTTGCTGCGAGCCGGGTATCATTTTGCATTCATTACAACTGATGTTGGTTACACATATTTCTCTACAATGTGGTTGGATTTCATCGCAGCTCTAGCATCCCAGAAAATTAGCTGCTATCCATAGACTTACTTCTTCTAAGCTGCAATGGTATCATTTTCAGTGCCCGAAGGGCCATTGTTAACCTCATGCAAGAGAAAACCCGGAAACAACCGAACCTTTTGGATGTCACACTTAAAGAGGAGCGAAAGCGTTATAATTTCCGAACTAGTAAACTCAAATTTGGATGGTTACCCTATTGAGAATCCATCTGCTATCACGCTACCTATAAAAGACTGCAAACGAATCCGGGGCCAAGGACAACCATGTGGCAAAAGAGATGTTCCGAATCGGAAACTTAAATGCGCACCGGCGTTCCAAGTTGGAATGAAACCGGGGATCCACTGAGTGGAGTCCAGATGGTAAGTGGGTCACTGCCGATCTTCTCGCTGGTGGTTCCACCTGCGGTAGTCGATGCTGACCCGGGGAAGGTCACTGGGATAGGCACACTGCAGGTGTTACTGTTTGAACCGACCGTAACTCCGACGATCGAGCTAGCATCATCGGACAGGGTGTATGACAAGCTTGGTCGGCATTGGTCGCGGGCCATGCGGTTTTTGAACAGCGTCCTGCGGTCTTTGTTAGAGGTTGTTCATCAGCGAGTTCTCCGTCGTATAGACTTACGCAATGTCATCGTGCTTGAGTGTAGTGATCGGCCAACTTGTCAGGCGCGTCATTTCCTGAACAATCACCTCCGTCCAGATCATCAACAATGACATTTTCCCGGATTTGGGCCCCACAGTAAAGTTAGGAACATCCATTTGGCGCATGTTAGCCTGATGAAACATGAAAGGGTCTTGATGCAATCCGAGCAGATGGCGCGTGTTTGTTACACGTGCGTTCTCGAGAAGAGTATTGAAGTCTCCGCTTCCTCCTGAGGTGTTGATCCATTCCTGCGTGGTGCATTCGGCTAGATCACAGTTGTAGTAGATTGTGGTAGCCCAGCGGGGAATAATCAGTAACCCTGCGTAACCATTCGAAGGGACGTTACTGATCAATGGCCAGAATTCGTTCTCAGTATTCATCAGAGGTGGGCGGGTCTGGGAACATGGTTTAGTTTCTGGGTCGTCAACCTTTTTGGGTAACTCACATTATCGCCGACAACACTCGTGATGCCGTTGTCCATCCATGCCTTGATCGCATCACCATTGTGCAGTCCAGTGATTGCTGGCGGGACTAGGCCCTTTCCGGAATAGCGTTTTCCGGCCGACAGGCTGACCTGCTGTGACCAAGCAATATTGAATGATATCTCCTTGGATACATCAGAATACGTAGCATTATTCAGAGCCGCATGCGTGAATGTGTGAGAAACATGTGCAAATGCGTCTCTGTTGCTTGGGGTCATAATCCAGGATGCAAGAGGGTCGAGTTTTGCGCATGCCAGACTCCAGCTGTACTTGTTCGGACTAGCTGGCCAGATATTCGTACCAGTCCCAAGCGGTTTCTGAAATTCCAGTGACGTATCGATCTGCTCTGGATAATCAATGGCACTATCAGGGTTGCAGAGTTTGGTGTTGGCATTAGCCTCGGCGTTTATAGCAGCCTCGATGTCACCATTCCCATTGTGGGCAAGTTCGATGAAATAGTCCGATCCACTCGGCATCCGGGAATTGATATCCTGCGTCCATGACACATGGGCTTGGAGATCACCAGGACGGATTCTGAAAGTCGTGCCGGCGGGTTGATAAAGTTCTGAACCTAGGTGCACATCATCGATCTGAGTGCTCAGGTAGAGACGACGGTGACCCACGACTGCGGCAGCTGGTTAGTCGAGAGCTGCATGCGATCAATGGTATCTGTGTTTTAACTTACAGATACCGCGTGTAACCCAATGAATGAAAGCATGTTGAAGAAAATTTGATGTCGGCGACCAATCAGTAGCCCAACTGGTAAACCACACCATCTGCTGACGCCGACCAAAACTGTTAATGACAGCTGCAGTTGTCGCCGTCGTAAAGGATCCACCTGGTGAAAATTGAGCAACCTCTATGGCTTTGCTGGAGTCGGTGATTTTTGCGGGATAATGCCACAAGCCCTGTGTGCTGATGGTGGCCCCTCTGTTGTCATTATGTTAGTCATCCACTAGGAAAGGCAGTGTTTGACCATCTCCAACTTACTCTTTCAGATTAGCGGTAGGGAAGCTGGTAGCGTTGCTAATGCTGACAAGCTGCTCTACACCAGCATTACAACAGCCAGCTCCATCGATCGCTGTGGCAGCACCTTGTCTGAGTGTTAGCAGACCGGATGCTGATCTGCATGCGCCAAGACTAATGGTATCTTACCGAAATCTGGACCAGGATATACGTCGAGTCGGACCATGCGCGCACCAAAAGTGTTCTGGTAGTCGTAGAGTTGCTGCCACTGTTCAGGCGACAGAGCACTCCTCCAGCTGCCACCATAATCATAGGAAACTTCGCCGAGCACTACGAAGCCTCCGTAACTGCCTTGACTTGAGGAACCGTTGAGAACCGGAAGACTGATGCCAGCTTGAGGGACAATAACGAGTTCGTAAGGAATGCCATAGCCCTTGAATCCAGATGTGGCCGAAATGCTTGATGCCGTGTCTCTGGCCAAGACCAGTATGGTGTTTGACATGCTGAGCGCATTTACCGCCAGCGCCATCCATGCTGTCAACAAGACTGCAGAGCAGCAGACTCGGAAACTGACAGAACCGATGACAGCCATGATGTTGTGATCCAATAGTGAGCAAGGAGACTCGGACACAGCAGTGTGATAGAGGACCAGCAGAACTCAGTAGAAGCATGCCTTATATTCTTACTGACATCAGATGGCGGGAGCTAAACACAAAGCATCGGCTGAGCATGGACGAAGTTATTTTCGTCAAAGACCTTTTAGTCGATGACCAGACTTCGCTAATGGTACTCGTGACAGTCCAGATCAAAATATGCAATACATCTAGAATCGATACCGCAACCAATTAATGTCGGATTGGGCCGCAAGCTCGCAAAAGTCAAATGTCATCTGGCCTAGAGCGGTTAGAACGTGGAAAAGTGCTTGTTCTGCACGGTACCGGTGGTGTTGTCTGGGCTGAAAGTTCAGCCACACGCGACTAGGCCTCCACCTGGGGTTCTCCCGCGCCTAGCCAGCCTTAAGGAAACGCCAACACTGACATCTGGACCTCATTAGTACTTGACATGTTAGTTCAACATCTATAACGGGATCTTGGTGGGTAGTCCTGCGTACCTCACCGATTGGTGGGACAACCCCGGCACGCCAAGCCTGCGTAAACTGGGGCCAACTAAGCGACCTCAGCTGAAACGTATGTCAGCATTGTTTCAATAAAATAGGTACCGATCGCGGCGTGCAGTCCAAACTTAGGCTATGGATGCTGACTTTGTGCTAGAGGAAGCCGATGCTGAGTAGCGAACTTTTTACGAGGTTGTCATTACGAGTCTTGGATGGCCAGGCAACACGTCTAGTTCTGGCTCGGTTTTTTCCGGTGCACGTAGATCAGAGAACGCTTGTGTCAAACTTGATTCTAGAGTATCTAGCTAGAACTAGTTTCCCAACCGAAACTTTCCTTGTCAATGCTTGTTGTGCTTCTGACATCTTCCTTAGCATTCCTGAGTTTGTGGCGGTCAGCAGCTGCTCAGAAGACTCCACAAAATCTACGAACCTGGTATTTTGGTTTGGTACAGCCGCCGTTGGACTTTACGAAGCACGCAAGTGCTGCTGCATTACGGCATTCGCATTGCTAACAGTGCTTCATCAGTATAATGCCCGCTTGATACTTGATCTGTAGAACAGAACGTACACTTTTCGCGTTCAAGAATACCGGGCATTGTGGCTTTGGACAGTCGCATGACTTTTTCAGGTTGGGTAAATGCTCGTGTTTGATGTGATTTGCGTCAGGTTTGTGCTTTTGGGCAAGGGTCAGGGTGACTGCTGCCAAAATGATAAATGCATGAATCTTCATTGTGAATTTGATGTTTCAGAGGCTGTGAAATGTTTTCAGGAAACGAGTTGCAAAAGCGCAGAAAAGACGACAGATGACTGTGGTTAAATCCAACTATTGCAACAACGTGGCAAGGCTTCACGGTTCCTCTCCATTCGGTTGGCCACACGATTACATGAGGGGTAGCTGAGTAGGATTCACTAGCTTGTCTAAATCTGTCCTCGCGTCAGTATGGTTGTGCAAGACATAACCTACCCCGATCTGACAGACCTAGATCATATCGCCGGCTCCAAGCCTTTCACATACGTATTCGTCGGTAAGAAGAGAGGCGTGAAGGATCTCAGCTCCGCGGAATAGCTTGAGCAATTCTAGTCCAATCGATGGCTCTGGACACCGAGATCGCAGCCAGACAACATCAGCTCACAGCCATTTCTCTTTGCATATCCAATTCTAGTCGCTACCGCCTGTACATGGGCCCCATGCTAGTTTGAGAGTAGGCTTCTGATCCAACAAGCTGTTGAGGTCTAGCCGACCGCCACAGCGCCCGGGTCACGACAGACTGTAGTTGCCACAATCCAAACTGTGCGAACCGTTCTTTTTCTTCCACTTCTATCCAAACATGTAGCTGCTCCACTATGACCCGCAAAGCTGAGTACACCCTAGTGTCTCTTGAGCAAAGGAACGTGCCCCTCGCGTACCGGGCGAGGGTCGTGGCCGGAGTTTTGGATTCATGGATAAGAATGCCTGAGTTCGCATTGGCAGCCGTTATGACACTTGTTTTTTGACTCAATTGAACTTGTCAATCTCTACTCGAAAACAGGATGTAACGAACAACGAGCTCAAATTCTTCTTTGGACTCCCTTGTCCTGGCTCTTCGACAAGCCCATCGAGTCTTGAGGAGATTGAGACATGTCGACCAAGCAATCCAGAAGACAGCAAGAATGACTCTTTCAATTAAGTTATGGTTGTCGGTGGACTCGGGTACATCGGATCACACACGGCTCTCGAACTCCTAAAGGCCAACTACAACGTCCTCATCATTGACAACCTTGCCAATGCTTATGAGTCTGCACTCTCGAAAATCCGCAAACTTGCGGATGAGCATCATGCCAGAAATGGTACCACCATGCCTTCTCTTAAGTTCCATAAACTTGATTATCGCAATTTGCACATGCGTACCATTTTCAGCAGATATGCAGTGCGTGACCCTAACAGCACTCGCCTGTCGCACATCACGAGTGTGATACACTTCGCAGCATACAAATCGGTCGAGGAGTCCATTTCCAACCCCTTGGATTACTATGAAAACACTGTCTGTGGCCTTGTCAACCTCTTCGTCTTACTTGAAGATTTCGGAATCCACAACTTTGTTTTCTCTTCTTCCGCAACGGTGTATGGCCTTGAGGCGAACAAAGGCGAGAAACTACGCGAAGAAGACCTGGTTCATCACGACGAAGATGAAGTCGACGCACTTGGTCGTAAGACACGGCTCGTCTCTGGCGTCAAAGGGCTGACCTCGCCCTATGGGCGTTCGAAATACTTCTCCGAGGCCATTCTTGCGGATTTAGCATACGCGAACCCATCCTGGCGGATCACTGCGTTGCGCTACTTCAATCCCGTTGGCTCCGAACCGACGGGTCCGCTTGGAGAAACGCCTCGAAACAAACCGACTAATTTGTTCCCGGTTATCTCTGAGGTGCTGAAGGGCTCGAGGCCCGAACTACAGGTCTTTGGCTCAGATTGGGAAGGCAGCTATGATGGTACTCCGGTGCGAGATTTCATCCACGTTGTCGATCTGGCCCGCGGTCACGTCGCTGCTTTAGCCGCTGCTGAGAATAGGCGGCACGCCTTTCGAGCATACAATCTCGGCACTGGCAAAGGCTCGACTGTTGCAGAGGTCGTCAACAGCATGCAACAAGCGTCTGGTTGCTCCATACCGGTTAAGTATGTGGGGCGACGACCCGGAGACCAGGGCAGCGACAGAGCTGAAATGGCAAAAACAGCATTCGCTGCTGGAGTGCGCGGAAGACACGTGGCGTTGCCTAGAGGGGCTTGGCCGTTGAATGAATTAGGCGACCGCTTCAGCCCGGGCGAGAAGCATAGCTGTGTGCGTCTTTTAGTTGAACGGCAGCATTGTCTGGTTACGCGATTTAGTTAATACAGTAGCTTGAACTTTTTCCAGGAATGTTCAAAGGTCCCAACAAAGTGACTTTAGCGCCATCAACCACAGCCTCGTGTAACAATTACTGGGGCTGAGCCCCACATGGCTGAACAAGGGGTGGAGAAGTGCGGGAAGCGTTCCTAGCGCCGTCGACCATAGCCTTATGTCGAAATTACTGGGACCTAGCTCTGCATGACTAAAGGAGGGACGGAAGCGAGCTTGGCGCGAATCACGCCGATTCAGACCGAGCTTCCAGCTCGGGAACATGACCCTGACCCAAAGGATTGTTTGTCGGGAAAACAGCCGAAAAATAGAAATCGTGCGGCGCGCTTACACCACTTGGCATCTCGCCGACGAGACTTTTCTGCAGATCAGCCACCCCTGGCGTGACAGCGCATGCACCAGGGTCGCTAGCTTTCAGCAAGCTTGGAAAGATGCGCCTGGCCTGTCGTGTCAATCCGAGGCTGATCATGGTTTCAACCAGAGCGCTGACTCTGATACGGCAAAATTCCACGGTCTGTGTTTTCTGGAAGCTCATCGCTTCCGTCAATGTCTCGACCGTGCGCATTTGCAAACACGCTTGCCACCTACAGACTTCCTATATCCTGAAGGACCAGCGTTGTTCCACTCAGTTGCCGATTGACATCCGAAGGGCTCGTCTTGACATTGTCAGTCCCGACAATGGCCTCCTTCTTCCAATCCTCATTTGGAAGTCCCGATGTTGACGATGGCTCCAAATTTGTTCATTTCCAGCAACCTTCGATTCTTCTTCATTCGTTAACACATGAATGGTGGCATGTATGTGTGCTGATCCTTGGTGCCGCTGCTTTCCTCGTTGGAGGTGTGTTGCAGACATTCCTAGTGCTTCGAGGGAGAAAGAGCTGGACTAAAGGGATCCTTTTCTTACCTTTGCGGTGGTGCCGATCTGTACAGAAAGCCGTCTACGCTTGTTTCCAGCAAAGAAGAGTACACGAGCCTCTCGAGACAGATTCTCAGTTGTCCGGAGATTCAGCATATCATGGAGACGATTTGTCTGTTTTGTCCAAGGCTCGATCGTTCTGCGTCACTGCGTCAGGTCAGTGCGAGTCCAGCGAATGCGGACTACATATACGATCCAATTGCGACAAAGACTTCCGGACATATGTGCTCAATGGGCAAGCCGGTGGGCAGAGCAAATCAGGTTTCACAATCTCAGTGCCTGTCACCCTATCAAGGAGCGCTTCTCAAAAAGCATGCCTTGGATCGTTTGAAATGAGGTGCCTCAGACATGAAGCTAAACTACAGGGCGGGTTCCGAGTAGTTGCTTCGTCGTTGAATGCATGGCGACTTGAGGAGGGACACGATGGCTTTGTCATCCGTTGCGGTCAACATGATGATCCCGCCACCGTGGACCAACTTCTACTGGAACTCCGCCGCTATGATTGTGCACTGGTTCTCCGGACAGATGCCGACTCGCACATTTGGGACAACCTCAATCCTGATTCCCTCGATGGGATCCTGCTCGAAAACGCCTGCGTGCTTCCCAACGGTGAAAGGCGTGATTTCTTTCGAGCATCGCGCGTCCGGGAATGCGCTGCTCATTGTAGGAACCAACGAATCAGTCGACCGGGGTTCCTTTTTGGGTTCGTCGAGATGTGGAAGATCGACCCTTCAGCTGCTACCTTGAGACGCGCTTACAAGCTGGCGGATTTTTTTGGAGCAATCATCCTGGCCATGCCCGACGACTTACTCAATAACGAAGCACGTATTAAGGAGATTCCTCTCAGCGGTTTTGACTCGCTGAAGAACTCTGACGTGGTCTGGTTGCAAAAGGCTTGGTCGAGCCACACCAAATTCTTGCTGGACGAGAAATCGGATCGCTTTCCGCCCCATGTGGACCTATCGTGTATATTGGGTGCGCTACCCGCCGCGGATCAGATACTGGCTGCACAGCCTGTCCAATCTAGGCCAGAGATGTCAGAGGCAGCTTCAAACTCTCCCAGCTGGGTACCATCTTCTTTCCAAGACCCACCCCCCCGGATAGACATATGGCACTTCGCGAGTTGTGGTGCCAAACTTTGTCCCACAGGCTGTTTCAGCTTGCGGGAAGAGATAGTGCAAAGCCAGCACGACGCAGTCCTCAGCATGCAAAAGAGTTTGAAGCACAATCAGCTGCTCCGCACATACGGCGATGCCGAAAATCTCCGTGTTCACGATTCCTTAGCGGTGCTTTGCGGTCGTTCCGCCTACCCTGATCTGGTAAAAGATCTACTGAAGGGTCTTGCGAATCAGAGGATTCGAATCTTTGCTGGTTTGGACAGCGGTTTCACACTTCCTGACGACGGTGGACACTTTTGGGCCGTGGCAGACATCACCCAGGACAAGTTCGGGACCCTACTTGACATTCACATCTCCCTCAAGGCATCCAATGACGTGTCGACAATATGGCATACCTTCCTATCTTACAATGGCGTGCCACGTCTTCAGCGGTTTGAAGAGGAGCTTCTGCTCACCTCAAGGCCAGAAACCGAAGGGGAAGCGCAGCTCCCACTCAGTATCACTAAAGACCTGGAGTCATGTTCCGAATCCGAGCTCCTTTATCTGGTCGAGCAGATCAGGATCTCAGAGTGCAACCACTCCTTCAATCACGCTATCTTGGAGGCGGCCGAACACTATCTGGTCCAGGACGTAAGCATCCGCGCATGGAGCTCCCTTCACTCTCGAGCGTGCCTGGATGACTCGGTCAGTGTAAAATCACTGCTGGAACAGAGGATTGCGCATTTCACACATCTTGGAGCGACAATGCTGCCAACTGTTGAGAATCTAGTCAGCTTGCATGAGATGCTACACCAAAAAATGCAGACAGCATTGCGGACAGGCGACAGAGCGACCTTGGACACGCTGACCAATCCTTTGCTCCTATCTTATGGACACGCTGGATCTGAGCATGCTCTCCTACCTTCTGTTGACTTGTACGGACTGATCTTCTTCTGCGCCTTACGAAGGCTAGCATTTGAGGACGTTTACATGGAGACAACTGACCGATGCCCCCTGTTCCTATTACAGCCAGATCAGGCGGGTGTTTTCGCTGAGCTCTGGGTCCTCGGGTCGCAATGTGAGATCTATTTTGGGCTCTCTCCTCGCACGCTGGGAGATATTGCATACAATAAGTATCAGCTTTTTCTCAGCCATAACCCACCCCCGGAAGATTCTTGGGATGGCAAAGAGGTGTTCACTGCATACTCCGTTCATGAAACATCGAAGAGACTATTGGATACAGCGCCAAAGGCTTCACAAAAGGGAACGTTCGGCATTTCCAATGCCGAGAAGCGAAGCGGGAAAAAGCGTCTTACCAAGTATCGAGAAGGAGCTGCCGCTGCTGGAGCTCTGTCGATCTTCTGCTTTCCCGCTATAATTGATGTCGTCCTCCTTACGTTCCTCGGCCGTGGGCTCTATTTGACAGCCTTCATGAATGACGAGATCAAAGTGATGGCAGATTACGCCATCATGACTGCTCTGATCTTGACCGGAGGCATTACAGGATTCGTTGGTAGCACTGGCGGCTTTTATCTATTCAATGTAAGTCATGCGCATGTGTGTGGAATTTCTCGCATTGGACTCATTTGCAACAGGCTGCGTTCGATAACCTAGCGCATTTCATGGTCCAGCGTTTCTCGGCGTGCATGGTCCTGACAAGTATCATTGCGCTTTGCGGCCTAATTGCGTTTGGTGTTCAGTCTTCCTGGTTCGGAGGGTTGATATTTGTCCTGTATCTGTTCCCGCTTTCGATCTTCTTGACGATCCTAGGTGAGCGGCCCTTTTTTCATACCGTGGTACACCCCATCCCCGACTGATGCTCCACCGTGGATACATATACGATTTGACATTAACCCTACAATCAGGGATATTTGCGACAATGCATCGACAGGGTTCATTCTTGTCTTCTGGACGCATTGAAATGTGGAAGTTTGTACCCATTCTTTTCATTTCCCCTGTCCTGACAACATTTGTCCCTAATTGGGATCTTCCGATTTATCTATCGGTTATCTACACGTTTACATTTGGACTCCTCACTGCATTCCGTCGTCTCTGCAATGAGTGGACAAGTTGGCACCTCAGAATACCGTCTATCACAGAGAAGGACATGGTCCAGTGGTACCAAGACAAATATCTCAATCAGCTGGACGCGGACGATGTGAAACCAGTGACAGCAGCGCGTCTGGCTCTCACTGCAGAAGTCTGCGAGATCGAGGAGCGAGGAATGTTCTGGAAACTATGGAATCGCGGTGGTCAAGATGACAAGTTTGTGGAGCCCATCGCACGCAATCTGCGAGTGATCGAGTTTCTCCTCGCCACTCATTCTGGTGGTGAGGAGGTACCAGAGCTTTTCAGTTCGTCTTGGTTCGTCCAGTGCGGGCTCGCTCTAAACAACAAGAGACAGATGATGCGGGGACTTAAAGAGCACAGCGCATTCATACAGTACCGATACTCACGCTATGATGTAAGTAGTCATCAGCGGCTTGAAGTTAAGCGCAAGTTCTAACTCTCATAGATCGGTCAAAATGTCGGCCTCTTCCTTCTTGCGTTGCTCGACCGCCTTGTTTCGACAGTCATGTCGGCGCGCCTGCCTCTAGCACAAGCATTCAAAACCACTTCAACAAGATATGCAATAGGTTTCGCGTTGTTGCATTTCCTCTGCGGAGCTGTAGCTGTGGATGTGGTGCTGCAAAAACAGTGGGGTTTTGTCGCAAGCTCCTCTAAGAAGAAACTCAAGGATCTCAATGAGGTCAATCAGGCAATTGAGAACAACGAAATGTCGGTGTAAGACTCACCACCGGCAGGGACGTACACTTACATTTTACAGGCAGCACCGAGAACGTTACAGGCGTGCACTCATTCATCTTATGAGCTTGCTATTGTTGACATTTGGAACCTGCACAATTTTCCACTGCCTTCTCGTAGACGAATACACAACATCCATTCTTTTCTTCTCGTATGTATCGAGTTACACGGCTGTTCTCCTCTGTCAGGTATGTCTTACTTCCCCACGTCTTATTGGAGCACACAGGTTCTGTGTTCCGTTGACCTTGACTAATTGTTTGCAAAGTTCCATCGATGCTTCACAAGAAGCCATCGGCTTCATGTAATCACGGTCCTGGTCTGTTGCGTTTTGGGATTCGTCGTTGGATGTTTCCTTCGCGCCCTGCCTTTCACAGCCACTTTCCGTTACAACTTCGTTATTGGTCAGAACGTTGCGGCCATAAGCGCCGTGATTGGAACTGGCATATTGACAAGAAACGTTTACAAGGTCCCTTCTCAGGCACGCAGCAAACCCATATCGGATACAACCCAAAGGAAACCGTTCGACCGTGATGTAGCCGCCGGCAAAGCATGTTCATCGTCACTGCATGCCGTCGAATGCGGAGGACCATGTGCAAAAATCCACAAGACCCATCGTCAATTCCTTGAGGATGCATGTTTGGGGGTGCGTGTTGATACAACTTGGCACACACTGCCCGAAGACGTACGCCGTTTCTTTCTACACCGCGTTTCCGGAAAGTCTGGTGTGATAACACCTATCGTCCGCGCATGGCTATCGGCAGACAAAGCTTCGACATCATGGCAAGACTCTACGACAGGGCCTCGTGCAACAACTACCTCGGATGCTTCTTCCTCACGACACGGGAACCTCACAGAGTCCGAGCTCACTTCAGACTGTGCTCGAGTTGTCGCCTCACGGAGACGTTCTCTCGCACGGATGGTAGCGCAAGGTATCGATGATGTCGTCAAGTGGATTGCCATCATCTCTGGCGCTGCCCACGATTGCCCACGAGAACTTTGGTATCGTCTGGGCGGTAGCAGGTTCGCCAGAGTTATCCTCTGGATTCTGCTGAAGATTTGGAAGTTATGCTGGTGGTCTAGGAACTTCCATACTTATGCTCTTCTGATAGCTAGCAGGGAGCCCGCCGCTTCTCTTGTCGATCTGGCCAATCATGGAGCACGCAGAACCCTCCGCGGAAATCTTATCAAGGTTGATCGTCCCAGGGAGAAATTCACTGGGTTTATTGCGAGAAGTCATACCAATCTGTTGGGCGTGATGGTTTACAAGGGTCTGTACGACGTTATTCCCAAGCGTCAATCTCCAATAGCCGTTGCGTTCTATGACGCCAGGAACCGTTTGTACCGCCGCCTGGAAATTCTCGGCGGCCTGGAAAAAACCTACCACTACGACGACAAAAGTCCAAGCAGGTGGCCGATCTCGAAGACAACGATACAAGCCGATTGGAAACTTGAGACCCGATACGACAAATTTGGTCGTCCAGTCAGCGGTCAGCAACTCCGCAACGGGGTCGTTTTTGACTATGAGTATCGCTATAAACACAGAAGTGTGGGAGACTCTGACCTTGTGTGTGCAACATACAAGAGCGCAGACAATACTGTTCCTGCTTTGCTCACAGTCTACTGGTGTGTCCGCCCGACGGCAACTTCGGACAGGATAGACCGATGGATTCCATCAAACAAGGTTCAGGCTGTCCAAGCTGCATTTTTCTCTGGACAGACCTACGAAGTCCGCTGGATCTACAAACATGCGCAGGGCGCTGACATTGAGGCCAGCGTATACCATGAGGGAATGCTGCGACCCTGCTTCCCGCCAGCAGAGATCATGCAGGACAAGTATGGATTGCTTGAAAAGCCCAAGCAGTTCTGTTTCGATGACGAAGATCTTCTCATCTATCATTCCTCGATATCGTTGCAACGGATGATACCTTCGAAGCGGGGATACCTCGCTAAAGCATTCAATGCAGTGGTATCAACTTGGCCCTTTCGTTACTTGCACTTGGGAGAGGTAGTCTCCTATCACAAATTGTCTTCTTCTGCCCTAAGAAGCGCACTTTGGGACTCCTGGCAAAAAGCACCTTACATTGACGCGCTCACGGCATCCTTCGTCGACGAACTTATACTGCGCAAAGAGCCTCTTCTAAGAGAGTATTGGCAGCTTCGCGACTCTGGATTTTTGCGACGCGCCGCCGAAGTGCTAGACCAGGGCTTGGAACAGATTGTTTCGGCAATTGAACCTACATATGAATCGTCGTCCAAGTGCCCGCTCATCATCAAGCCTGCTGATCTTTTCATCATGGGCCTAGGCAAAGATGCTAATCAAATGACCTCTCGTCTAGATTATGCATACAGCGACTCTGAGACGGCCACGTCCGTAATCTTCTCTGACAACGGTTGCTGGCCAGACAGCCCCGGAGGTGTTTCAAATTGCCGCAGAGACTTAGTCGATGGACACAAGACCATCAAAGGGCACTGTTTGGCTGAGTCTGCGAACGACTTTGGCGTTCCACGATATCAGATCGAACGCAACATCGCAAGCTTGAAAGTCCTTCCGCTTTGGGGTCTAGATTCTAAGACTGCGTATCATGGAATTTTGGACAACCTTTTACAAACTCAGGTGGACGACAAGATCTCTCAAACCAAATTGGGGGGCGATATCGAGCAGATCTTCATCCCACTCCTGCGGGACTTTGTTCGAGGCGCGCGTTCGAAGCGCTACACCCGAAAAGATCTAACTGTTTGCAGCAATGTGTTCCTCAAAATGAACAAATACTTCGAAACATGCGACTTCAACAAGACCTGGCAAAGCAACCAAGTGCGCGAAGCGTGGATGGAAGCATGGCTCGTTGAGTACGATGATCCCAACATATGGAACTTCAAAGACCATTCAGCGATCTTGCACCCCTCCTTGAACGACTTCCAAGAAGCTCTCAACCTGTACATTGCATACTTCTTCATTTACTCTGTCAACCTACCATCGCCATGCCCAACTGTGTTCCAGACCACAAACCACGGCATCGGCAGCTTGTATGGAATGCTGCTGAAGTATCAGCGAGGGACTACTTGGGGTCTTTGGGATCATGCCATTCTTTGGAGGGAGACCTGCCTCAATATCAGCCCTGCACAGTGCCTGTTGCCATTGCCGGTACAGACAATGCTACTTGCGGGGATCAAGCTCTCGTGCCACTTGGCATATACCCACGTGGACATCATTCTCCCCTGCACGTCGGTTTTCAATCCTGACTGGGAGCAAGACCTTGGGACCGATCAAGGCTTACGAGGCAGTAAGAAGGTATTTGCGCGGAAGATTGATCCTATTGTCAACGGTATTGGTAACATGGATCTATTTGAGCCTATCACGGAGGTCCGCAGCAAATTCCCCACAACTGTCATGTTGTCCAATGTACAATTCATCAAGGACGTCAAGACCGCAGTGCTCGCTGCAGATGTCATTGTTAACAAGTACGGCTTTAAGGACTATCAGCTTGTCGTTTATGGTGCCCAGGATCGCCAGCCGAGCTACGTCCTTGAAACGGTCCAGCTGATCAACACCCGTGGCCTCGCCAGTAATGTGACCTTGGCCGGCTTCGGCAGCCCCAAGGAGGTATTAAAGGATGCGTGGCTCTTCCTTAACTCCTCACTATCAGAGGGCCTTCCTCTTGCCATTGGTGAAGCGGCATTATCGGGCGTGCCAATCGTGGCAACAGAGGTCGGAGCCACATCTCTCGTACTTACTGATCCTGACGATATGAAGAAGCGCTACGGCGAGGTTGTACCACCAAATGATCCGGAGTCGCTTGCAAGGGCGCAGCTTAGCATCCTCGCCATGATGGGTGCATGGGCAGATTACACGCAAACAGCAGAACCTGCACCCTTGCCATATTCCTTCACTGCAGAGGACGTAACCAACATCACAAAGCGCATGTATGAGAAGGTCGAAGACCGGAGAAAGCTAGGGTTGAAGCTCCGTGAAGTTGTTCTTCGTAGCTTCCACGGTCACCGCTACCTGCGCGAACATGAGCAGATGTTTTGGATCCAGCGGCGAAGAGCAGAGATTCGACGTTCTTCTGTCAAGATACCGAGTCATCCACAAGTGAGTGAGGTATATGGGCAGAGCAGATTATTCCAATACGACTCCAAGACAGAAGAGTCGGGACCGCATAAGATGCGATGGCAGCCCTTCAAACACCCGGAAAGGGCAGAAAAGAAGCAAGACGAACATGACGTTGAGCGAAAAGCAGGATCTTTATAAGGTATTCAAGCGTAGAATAACTTAAGAGTTCTAGTCATTCTATAGGGATACTGTCTCTGAGTGAAACTTAAAACACAAGTGTATTGTTAATTATAATTTCTAAAGTAATACTTTGTTAGATTTCCATAACTTAAAGTACTACCAAGGCAGTGAACCTATCATGATGCCTCAACAACGTGATATTGAATTGCTTCCTGTTGAAGATAGAATTATCCTTGCTATCCAAGCCCTCAGATCTGACGCGTCACTAAGCCAGCGACACGCTGCTGCCATCTATAACGTGCCTGAAACCACCCTCCGCAACCGACGCGCTGGAATAACCTCACAACGCGATATCCAAGCTAACTCATCAAGGCTTCACAAGCATAAAGAGGAGGTGGTTATACAGTACATTAGGAAGCTTAATGCTAGAGGCTTTGCCCCTACGCTTAGCTACGTACGTGAGATGGCTAACCAGCTACTAGCTAAGCGTGGTAGTACTCACGTTAGAGAGAACTGGGCCTACAGGCTAATCCAACGCCGACCTAAGGTTAAATCTCAAGTAACTCGAACTCGTGATCACCAGCAAGTCCTCTATAGCAATCCAGCTATTATAGGCCTCTGGTTTGATCTTGTACGCAACGTCAAAGCCAAGTATAGCATCCTAGATAAAGACACGTACAACTTTGATAAGACTAGCTTCCAGATAGGGGTTGGGGGGTCAGTGAAGGTAGCAACAGCCTCTGAGCGGCGCCTCAAGCCACTTGGAGTTCAGCCTGGTGATAGGGATTGGGTGACGTTAATTGCCGCCATCAACGCCGTAGGGTGGGTTATCCCACCCTTCATCATCTTCAAAGCCAAGAACCACGACCAGGCCTGGTATCACAACCCTTGGGATTGGAGAATAGGAGTCAGTGATAATAGATGGACGACAAATAAGCTTAGGCTTGCCTAGCTACAGCACTTTATTAAGCATACAGAGGCTAAGAAAGTGGGTAGTCATAGGCTGCTAATACTTGATGGCCACGAGAGCCACAAGTCACTTGCCTTCCAAGATCTGTGTGAGGAGAACAAGATTATCACCCTCTGTATGCCCCCCCATACCTCATATATCCTTCAGCCGCTTAATGTGGGTTGCTTTGCCCCACTAAAAGCGTGCGTATAAGGAGGAGATCCGAGTCTTGGCAAACTGCTACATCAACCATATCGACAAGAAAGCCTTCCTGGCTGCATTTACCCTAGTATTCAACCAGGCCTTCTCAAAGGGCAATATCCTATCAAGCTTCAGAGCAACTGGCTTAGTCCCGGATAACCCAGAGGTAGTACTATCAAGGCTTGAAGTGAAGCCTCGTACACCAACACCACCTATACCTGGGAGTACCCCTTGGCAGCCTAAAACACCAAGCAACGCCTGGGAAATAGAGGCTCAAACAACGCTGATTCTTAAGAGGATAAGAGACCATAAGAGCTCCTCACCTGAGTCTATTCTTGAGATGGTGCTGCAGGTTCAAAAGGGGTCAACTTTGAAGGTACACTCACACACGTTGCTTAAAGCTAGAATAGCTAAGCTTAAAGAAGCAAATCAGGCTGCCTCAGAGCGTAAAAAGCGTAAGAAGAAGCGGATTCAGAAGGGAGGGACTCTATCACAAGCAGAGGCAGAAGCAATAGTTACCCAACGGGATGCTGGGTTCAACTTGAGGCCGAGAGGCGTGAGGAGAGAGTGCAGGCAGGTGCTAGCAGCAGGGGTATTCCCCACTGCAGAAGGTGTGGCAACACAGGACACAACAAGCGTACATGCAAGAAAGATGCAGTAGAATTAGGCAATTAATTTAAGCCATTGCGCACTATTATACCTTGTTGTAGCGTTGAGTTATTGAGGTTTAAATGTAGATAGTTGCATTTAGTGCGCGGCTCGGTGGGGTGCGCGGCTCGGTGGTGGAACACGTTAATAGGAAATCTTCTTTTATATCTTTTAACACTAACACGCATTGTGCTTAAGTTCGCTGTAATGACCATAGCACTATTGACTCGGTTCAGCTCTTACTGAACTCCTCTCAGGCACCGTCTTCACTATCATAGAAATGCTAAAAGCACTCTCAGCTACTACTCGTTCTAATCCACTAGTTCTACAAGGTCTACTATCTCTTGCGTGTCAGCAATGTCCACCAAACGAAAGATTGCATGGTCTCAGTGCTAGTATAACACGGGCTGCATGAGTCAGACTACGAGCCATTGCCGAAGGCGGTGGAGGGAAGTCAATCTCAACCCTCTGCCCGGCCTCAATGAGGTTGTATTCGACTATCCGGCCAGCCAAAGCGAAGCCAATGTTCACTCTGGAGCCTTGCTTGATTAGACGCGACCGTCTGAAGAACACGTTGGTCCCAGCATCTTCGGCACGCATGAGGTCTTACGTCTCGCGTCTTGTTGCCGTAGCAAGGCAGTCCATGTCACCTCCACCAGCTCTACATTGCCCATTCGCTTGAGCTATGACCCGATGGAGTATGACGTTGGACATGGCTATGGTGCCTCGAGACACGTAGCAGGAAAGATGACCATGGCGGCTCGTTTCCGCGGCGCCAGAGTGTCGCCTTATCGTTTGTGATCACTGCTTGAACGTCCAACGGCCCCTTTCGACTGGATTCTGGTGAATTCTTGCGCAACCTCATCACGGGAAGTCTTGATCTGGGTGCTTTTGTATCAATCAACGCCGACTTGTCCGCTGTGCTGTCTGTTGATTGTTTGTGTAGTATGACTGCCACCGTCATGATCGATGACCCACAGCGCATTACTGACCATTATGACTTTGCAAAGCCAAAGCTCCAAAGTTGAGCCATTGCTTCAGCATCATGAACGTCGCTAGCGGTGGCAAAGACATTCTTTCCTTCAGCGAGTGGCATCGTCGGGCACTTGAGAATGCGGCACTCTATCCAAAGTCTCTGCTGGCTCGCATTACCACTGTTCGTGATGGGCACACTGACGAGACTGCGGGGAACTTAGGAAAGGGGCTTGCAGTTTGTAAGACCGTCTTTGCTCGGCACTGTTATCCAGGTTTGCTGTTCGATATTCTTTTCGTAGAGCGGTATATAGAGTATATACCTAAAACCAAGGGCTAGGCATGCTGCTGCTGCGGTAGGTGGTTTGCAGTTACAAGAGTCAGAGCTGCTCTCTGTGCTAGTTGTGGTTGATCTAGGGTATTCGTGCGTGAGGGCAACCCGCGGGCCCGCATCTTTACCCCAAGCTTGACGCTGAGAAAAGCGATTTCGGCTGAGCGCCTCCGCTTGTCAAACAAGTAGTGATGGGCCAAGAGGAAGAATAGTCAAGGGGGACAAGGGTGTGTGAGGTGGAACGATGATAATAGTTGATAGAGATGACGGCAGGTCGAGAAAGGGCGCATGGACACCAGCTTTGACTGCCAAGTGCCAAGTCCTTGAACTCGAGAACTGAAATCGCCTTTGCCGAACCATTTCCATCCCCACGATCGCGGCTTCCGTCGAACTTCTAGTCTACGTTGAGTCTTAGGCCTTCCTATGCGCGCGGACGTGATTGCTATCGCCCCTCTGCTTGTCGCGGGCATCCGTCGTGCAAGTCGTGAGCTCGTGCCTTCAGCCTACAGTACATTCTTAGAGACTACCCTGCCACTATGGAGATGTACGCTCTTTATTCGCAGCTCCTTAACACCTGCGACCGCGGGTGCAACGGTCAACCTGACTTCGATAGCACTACAACCACTACGCACGCGGTTACCTCCAGATGGATTCGCAACAATAGAACAAGCAGGCACCTGAAGGTGCAATAGACTACACGTATGGCGGATAATAGTTTCTAGCCGTGAAGGAAGAGGTGAGCCACTCAGATGTCACTTGGAGCGCTTGTCGGATATCGAGCTCTACGTAAAGTCACGCGAAGACGGAGCGAACAGAACTCTTCCCTCTATTTTCCATGGCTTCGGACGCACGTCAACGTTTTGATCAGTCCCCCGAGTTGCAAAACCTCAAGTCGGAGATTGAGCGAACTGCTGAACGTGCTAGGCGCGATAAGCTTGAAGAGCTGGGCCGTCTCAAACAGCAATACAGAGAGCTCATGGAGTGCTATGATCGGTACGAGTGCGAGACGCACGAAGTACTCGTCAACCGCTATCACGGATATACCGAAACACAGCATAAACCGGATTGTGCAAAATGTGATTTCAAGCGCTCCGCCGAAGCTCTAGAGATCGATATCCATGAATGGCCGCTTTCTTCCAAGACATCTGCTGCGAATGCGACAGTGTTCGAGCTCCGTGTACCAGAGGCTTTCAGCCATTGGCGCGACGCCAATATATATGTGCTTGTCTCCGCCCTCGGTCATCGAGACATGGATTCATCTAGGCCGCAATGCCAGTGCACACTAGACAAGCATCATGGTCTCTCGCACATGCTGTCCGCGGGGTATCAAGACCGCCGTGTCGTACCTCTGTCTTCTGTCAAGGCTCATACAGGCACGCATAGAAACCATAAGAAGTCCATCTTGCATGTCCAAGAAAAGGATGTATGCCAGAGGAGTCCGAGGACGATAACCCGCTAGTCAGGCTGAGTGACTACGCAGGACAGCAGGGCGATGATCCAGCCCTAACTAATGTTTGGGCCCCACTTGGTGTTTGGGACAACGAAGACGATGAGACAGATGAGTGGAACGATGTTAAAGATGCGGATATGCGCCTACTAAAAGTGTTGAAGGCTTTTTAGAGTTTAAAGGTGATCCTTGATGGGGAATTCAGGTAGATGTGGGCTTAGACTTTTGGTTCCCTTCAACTGAACAATATTAAGTTCCCTGCCCCGTGGCATCCATTGCCCTGGTTGGCATTGTCGGCCAATCAGCGCTATAGACCTTCATCTAACGTGTTTTTAGTTTTCGGAACACGCGCTACCGGTGATACGGTGCAAGCAACCGGTAGTGCAAGCGAACGACGCATCAGCGATCAAGGAAAAAGAAAGAAAGCTGAATTGATAACGTAAATACTAGGCGAGTGAGCCATCTAAGCGAGTGAGCCACCTCACCAAATTTCTATACCCTATGACTGTAAATCGACTATGGCTCCACCAAACGTAGCCAACACGCTCCTTGTGAGACTGATATACACCTTGCAACCTTAGCTCTTAACGCGAATCAATTTCAGACTGAAAGGTGCGCTGCAGCAATGTTTGAAGTCTCTCGCGCTACCCTCCACCGCCAACGCGCTGGCAAACCCGCTAGACGCGATTGCCAGCCCAACTCAAAGAAACTTACTAAGCAAGAGGAGGAGGTAATAGTAAAGCATATACTGGATCTAGATACACGTGGGTTTTCGCCTACGTACGCAGCTGTACGTGATATGGCTGATAAGCTACTCTCAGCGCGTGGTAGCTCTCCTGTAGGCAGAGACTGGCCAAGCAACTTTGTTAAGCGTACAGACAGTCTCAGGACGCGTTTAAATCGAGCATACGATAGGCAGAGAGCTCTATGCAAGGATCCAGCTTTAATCAGTAGCTGGTTCGAGCTTGTGGAGGAGACAAAGGCTAAGTACAGCATCTGCAATGATGACGTGTACAACTTTAACGAGGCTGACTTTATGATGGGTAAGACTACAACTCAACTTATCATAACAGGGTTAGAAAGAAGAGGCAGGCCAAAGGCTATCCAGCCAGGTAATCGCGAGTGGGTGACGGCGATCGCTGCGATCAACGCTGCTGGCTGGTCAGTCCCACCATTCCTCATCTTTGCTGGCAAGTACCACCTCTCTGCCTGGTATGAGGAAGCAGAGATCCCACGCGACTGGGCGATCGCAGTCAGCAACAATGGCTGGACAAACAACAAGCTAGGAGTAGAGTGGCTGAAGCACTTCAACGCTCACACAAAGACTCGCGTTGTTGGTGCGCGTCACCTGCTCGTCCTTAACGGCCATAAGAGCCACCACTCTCTTGAGTTTCAAGAGCTTTGCAAGGAGAACAATATCTTCACGCTCTACATACTGCCTTACTTATCCCATCTACTACAGCTGCTTAATGTTGGCTGCTTCTCGCCGTTAAAGCGCGCGTATAGCCGTAAGGTTAAGAGCCTTATCTACCACTACATTAACCATATTACTAAGCTTAAGTTCCTGCCAGCCTTTAAGGCAGCGTTCAGTCAATCGTTCACCTCAGCCAATATCTGCTCAGCCTTTCAAGGCGCAGGCCTTGTGCCTCTCCAACTAGACGCTGTGCTCTCAAAGCTTAACGTGCAGCTACGTACACCTACTCTAGATACTCTGCTAGAGGCTCTATAGGAAGCTCGTACGCCGAGCAACGTACGTGAGCTTGAGGCTGAATTAACGTTATTAAGTGATCGCGTGCGACGGTATAAGAGCTTGTTGCTGGCTTCAATTATGAAGGCAATTAACCAGCTTAAGAAGGGTGCTAAGGTAGTGATGCTCTTAGCTAAGCTGATGCGCGATTAGATTGCTAGCCTTAAGAAGGCTAATAAGGCAGCGTCAGCGCGCAAACAGCGTAAAAAAAAGCGCATATAGCAGCGTGGGGTCTTAACAAAGGGAGCTTAAGAGGACATACTTGCTCAACGTAAGGCTGATCAGCAGATTGCTCATAAAGAGCGTTAAGGAGGAGAGCAATCAGGCCGCAGCTGCCAGGCACTTGCGCGCTGCAAGAGATGCAGAGAGACTGGATATAACTCGCGTACGTGCAAAAAAGATACTTTAGATACTGCTTAATTTACTCTATAAATATCTATACATTAACGTAGGTGTACAGCGAGCGGGCCAGTACACCAAGCGGGCCACTTTTGCCAAGACCACACTAAAACCCAACCTATTATGGCCTAAAATACCACAAATTAGCGCTATATAAGGGAAAACAAGCTGTAGTATTACTTAGGAACCTCATCTGCTCTATTCTTGCACGTTCGCGCGTTGTGCCCACCCTCTCCACACCGTCCACAGCGTTGTTGGGATGGTTCACCTCCTTTAGCGCGCACCCGCTTCTTTACCCTCTTACTATCACCACGCGCCCCAAACTCCTGCAAAGCAGTTAACTACTAGCCTTCTTTAACTATAAGGCTTCCCTTAGCGTGAATACGCCTTCTTTTGTATAATTTTTATTGTGTAGCAGCCTTATTAGCCGCTTAAAGCTCGCTAATTTCCTATTATACTAAAACCAGCTTATACGCAATAATTGCTACCCCCTTTAATACCTTCTTAAACGCCTTAACTATTAATGTGGGAGAGCTATCTATATGCCTCTAAATCCTTGTCTTTATAAGCGTCGATTATAACCTAAGTTCTAGGGTATTGCTTAGGGTTTGCAACTGCTAGGGCTTGTTGTTTATAGGGAGTAGTGGTAATAGAGTGCGCAGCTTCACATCAAGAGTTAATATAACCCGTTCTAGGTCATAAGGGACCAGTCCTGCGCCTCAGAACCCTCCCTAGATGTTGCTAGGGGTAATGGCTTTCTTATAAGCTGCTTTAAAGCATGGCAGGAACTCCTGCTTTGTAATATAGTTAATCTAGTTGCGCATAAGCTTATTAACCTCATCCCTATACGCCTTCTTTAGAGGGCCAAAACAAGCCACATTAAGGGGCTGCAGGAGGTGCAACAAGTGCGCAGGCATGCATAGGGTTACAATCTTATAATCCTTGCAGTATTGCTTAAATTCTGCAGAGTTATAGCTCCTATAACCATTAATAATTAGCAAACAGTAGGTGCTAATAGTACATGTCTTTATATGCCTATTAAAGTGCTTTAACTAGTCAAAACCAAGCTTGTTAGTAGTCTAGCCGTTTTCAGAGATAGCAATAGTCCAATCTTGGGGCAGGTTGTCGTCCTTATACCAGTTAGACAGGTGTTAGCAGGCTTTAAAGATAATGTAGGGCGGAATAGCCTATCCTGTAGCATTAATGCCCTTAATAACTGTTACCCACTCCTAGTTGCCTAGCTAGACCTACTTTGCTCGTCCTAGCTTCTCTGCATCTATAACAACAACTCCAGTAGATATCTAGCCTATTATAAAGCCTGTCTCATCAAAGTTATACGTGTTATTGTCTAGGATACTATACTTAGCTTTAATATTAGCTACTAGGCTAAACCAGCCCTAGATCACCGCAGGATCCTTGCAGAGGGCTTGCTTGTAGTCATACTTGCGATTAAAGACTGTTTTAAGCTCCTCCTAACGCGAAACAAACCTGCTAGCCTACCTTAGGCTAACAGGGGCCAAACCGCGCTCTTTTTGCAGAGAATTAGCCATATCAGCTATAATTATAAGCTAAGGGGACTCTCCTTGCATAACTAGCTCAAGTATGCGCATAACAATCACCTGCTCCTTAGCGCTGGTTAGATTACGTAAGTTAGCCATAGTATTAACGCGTGAAGGTCGTCCTGCGCGTCAATGGTCTAGTGTAGTTCAAGAGACTGTAGATAGCTGCAGCACGTCGCACTAGGAGTTTTGCGTCTTGTTTAAGAGCTTAAAGCGCAAGCTAGATCTGACACTCTTTTAACGCGTTAAAACGGGGTTAGTAGGGGGGCATTTAGATAGTGATGGTGTTTTAGTGTGGTCTTGGCAAAAGTGGCCCGCTCGGTGTACTGGCCCGCTCGCTGTACACCTACGTTACTTGCCTTTGTAAGGCTATATTGTTGCGGTGCAAGTGGGTCCAACAGGCCTTGATCGTCACTGCAACCGACGATCCTGGACTAGTGCGTCACAGGACATGTATATATCGTCGTCCTTTGGTAAGCAAGCAACACAGCGCAGTTTTTCATCGATACATTCAGCGGTTGCGTATGCCGCGACAAAGAATCACCGTAAGGCTACCGATCGTCCTGCACTGGCTTGTTTCGTGATTATGTAGTGCCAGACGGGCAAATTTCATGGGTTACGATTGGGTTGACTCGGCGCCATCAGCACGCAAGAGGGAATCGTTGGATGTTGGGGCGTGACGAACCTGCCTGGTGATCGTCCGACGTGCCGGTTTGCCGATCCGCTTGTCAGACCCATCTACCTGGTTCGCAACCCTGCTCTCCTCGTGTCAGATGCGCAGTCATTGAAGCCGAAGGCTGTCGATCGTACGGGGGCGATAACAGTAGCAAGGTCCTTCTTATGTCTTCGTATTGGTATGCTATCTCTATGAATGTGGGTGCTATGAATGTATACCTAGGCTCTGTGTGAGTCGGACCGAAGTACGATCGGAACAGTGCATTGGGCAGCGTCGGGGGATGGGATGTGTGTATACCGACAGGATTAATCAATTAAATAGCCTTCTAATCCAACGCCTCGTCATCCCCCTTCCTCATTGGCTATTGGGACGCGACCATACGAGAAAGACACGGTTGTCAAATCGCTATGTTACAAATGACCATTAAACAGAGGGTTGCACGGTGACTGCACAATGTGGCTGTCTGCAGTCAATTGTGGGTAGGGCAACACTCGTTATGTGTGACTTACGCAGGGACCAACGTCAGTGTGCAGCAGATCGTCATGTAGTCAAAAGGCGACGCACACGCTGCGTGGGTCATCTCCAAGTTTACCTTATCAAAGAATCGGCGATCGACGGAGCATGCGACAGTATGCAAACCAACTCAACGCCCGGATTCAGTCAACGCAACCACCCACAAAATTCAATACTACATGACGTCGATATTATGAACTCAACTGAAATCGTGCTTCCACATTCGGATTCGTCTGGAGCATGAAGGATCTTTATGTTACACTGAGGTAGCTAATAAGTGCGGTGTTGATTGCTCTACGCTACCGTAGCTTATCACCAAACCGGCAGGACGAATCACGCCAACCCTAGACTTTTGAGGCTTACTTCGCTTGAGGACAAAGCATAGCTATGTTGCATGCTATGGGTCTTGAGACTATCGTAGGCCTTCTCGTAAGACTCATAGAGAAAATCCAAAGGGGCGGGAACAGCTTCCACAGTCATTCGCGTAAAACTAAAGACGAGTGACTACATCACAGTGAGAAGAATAAAGAGGGTAATATGGTGCGGCGACGCGTAGATGGCGCGCTGAAGTCGCATTTACAAATTACGCGATAATCTTGCTTAGGCAGTTGATTTCCGCTAACACGAGCGTGGGGACAAAGGGGGACAAGGGGGGACAAATCACGCCAGCCTTGCGAAATACCTATCTGTCGCAGGCTAAGCGCTCTCGCGAACCAGAACTGTGTTATTACTCGTGCCGCGCAAGGGCCTAGATATAAGTTGAGGTACGATGCTGAAACAATGCAAAGACTTACGCACTCTTCTAAATTTCCTATACCTACAACATCGCACCCAACCGTACGACACTATCCGATGCATCCCGTGACTTGAGATCTTACCGGTCTGCGTGTGTAGTTGTGATACTGCAAGCGTACTTGCGCCAAGCTGCAAGATTCCAGCTCCCTTATCAAAGTGCTCAAGTGTATACACCCCTTACAGCTACAGGCATGCTCTAGCGCATGGATCTTTTGTTCTAGCCTTACTCTGCATTAGAAGTTGTACTATCTGCTAGACTAACAGCAAAAAAGAGCACGTCAGAGAATTGCTGCTTAACGTATGTTGCTCCGCTGTTAGTAGTTTTAGCAATCAGTGATGTAGCGGATGTTAAAGGTTTGGTGCTTGCGTGTGATAATGAGATAACTAGAAGCACGTTTGCAGGTATTGTTCGCAGAGGACCAGCTACTTTGCTTGGTACTCGACCAAAGAACGCAAACTCAACACCAGATCCTAGCGTCTCAACGGCTTTCGTGATTCTCTGGTAGAGTACCTTTGGTTCCATGTTACATCGGAGTCTCTGTGTTTCGTGGGCATTCGAAGTGCTTACCTACACTTTGCCGTCTACCAACGCATTCAGATATGTTCCCTTGCGTCCCTGAGCCATGGTAGAAGGGAACGTATGGAGGTATCTAATAATTTGATTCCGCACGCAGTTCAACTGGACATTGGTAATCAATGGTGGACCGTACAAAGAGATGAGAACAGGGACGAGCAGACAAGGTTAGCAACTCATTAGCTTCTATGACATCGTTATCGATCTAACACTTCAAACTGGGTATGTGAAGAGGGGAAAAATTGCTCCGCTCTTTATCAGTACCTTTCCCCTCACACAGGAATTTGTGATTCCGTTTCGTCAAGCTTTGATCTAGTTGAGTCGGCTTAAGCAGGCGTTGCGCAACTTTTCTCTCCCTCGCAGACCAGAGTTGGAAACGTGCTACGCTTGCAATTTACTCGTCTCGCCTTTCCATGTGCTTAGCAAAAATTCTCGAATGACGAATCATTCCTCGATCTCCGGCATCAACAACAACTGCCACTGCTACATCAGACCTTCCAATTTTAGACCTCGCTCCAATTGTTTCCAAACTATCGTAGCCGCCATCTTACATCCCGACACGTGAGAGTTCTTGGTATCTTAGCTCCATGCGATGGACCATTGGTAGGCCCTGTTTCCGCCTCAACGCATCCCACGCCTGGACCAGGACAGTCGCCACTGGGTTGAAATCACGTTTTTTGGTATGGAGGTCTCTGATTCGTGGGTTACGCGCTTCCTCGATCGTCACCCTGACCGACTCACCTCACAATGAGCAACTGGTATTGTAAGCAAGGGGTGGTAGTAGTATTAGGTCTCATGTATGAATGTATTGTGTGTATGTACAAGTGTTTGATCTGAGCTCGAAAGTAGTCGGACGTATTAGTCATGCCTGCAGAGCAGTTTAGTTTAGTTTAACGTGTTTTACCGTGTCCGTGCGCGTGATGCGCACGTTCTCGTGATGCGCACCCCACCACTTTTTGAAGCCTCACCAAAATGAGGTTATTGAGCCACACAAAATAGATGTTATCACGGGAAATTTTGGTGTACTATTTTTTAGACCTTTGCGAAAAACTTCGCTACTAAAACCTTTTTGGTGGAGCGATTTTGCGGCCACGGCGGTTGGCTTTTGGTGGTGGGGTTGGGGAACGCTTATGAGCGATAGGCCGACTACTACTACCCACACCACTAACCACACCACTATAGTTTTGCTTCTTTCTAGGTGCTGTAGACTGTAAGATCTTTTTCTTACCTGCTTTGGGTAATTGTGTAGCTTTTTGAGTGTCGCGAGCTTGCTTCTGATGCTGTTTTTCTGCCCGGCGTTTAGCTACTTCGGCGTCCTTCACAGCTTTGAGTCTGGCCCGCTCCTCCTTCTCTGCTCCTTCTCCTTCTATTTTAGTAGCTTTTTAGTCTGTTGAAGCTCTCGTTTGGTGGCTTTATCTATCTCCAACTGCTCCTGATAGGCCTCATTTGCGCAGTCACGTGTGTCGGCCTCTCGTTTCGATGAAGGATTCCACCAAACCGCTCCACCTTGCCTGTCTATTCGACGTGTGTATAGATGTAGTGCCTTCTGACGTTTTGGTTTTTTTCTTATGGCTACCGTGACCGTCTAGGATGAGTAGGCGCCACCTCCGGCGAGCTTTTGGTGCAGTATACCGCTCAAACAACTGTTCAAGCCACGTTAATCCTAGATCATCGTTCGTCCAACCAGTAGGTGAGGTGGTGAAGAAGATATCGTGCTTTTTGGTGTCGATTGGAGCCACCCAGCTCGCCTGAACGGCTCTACCAGCTGCTGAATAGATGATACAAGGTGGTAGTACTGATCCATCGGCGCATATTGTCGCCAGGAGGGTCACCTACTCGCGGTTACTATCGTGGAGACTCTGCCTGAACTGATTTTGGTGGTATAGTACCTTGTCGAAGATCCAATTACTCCTCCAAGTGACCCCAATCGCAAAGCCCTTCTCATCCATATTGTAGGTATCCTCGAGCAGCACGTTGTACTCAGCCATCTGCTGTGCAGGAGTTCAAAGTATAGTCGGTATCTATCACTAGAATCGGCGTGGTAACGGCTGGATTCCATAGGCGTGCTCCACGCGTTATGGAGTACATCGCCGTGACGGTCGAGGAAGCGGGTAACCCATGCCTCAGAGGGCGGCGAGGCACATAGAGGTGCGACGAAATTGATTAGCATTTGCCTCGTAGGCATAAGGTGTCATTTGTTAAGCCCTCTCACATACTGTACAACCTCTAATTCATCGCGTGGGTGGAGTAGTCGTTGTTTGCGTGCCTGGTCTTCACGCGACGCGATCTCACCACGGTGCCGGCGCGTCAAAGCTGACCTGCAACAACCGTGTTTTTTGGCAAGTGCTTGGTATGGAAGTTTTGCTCCTGGACTTCACCTATCTATCTCTGCAAGGACTTGTAAAATAGGCATGGTTGTGTTGAGTTACGGAGGTTTCAAAAATGAGACGGAATATGGTGGGGTGCGCATCATCACGCAAAACCATGCCTGCGGCCGCCGTTTGATGGAAGAAAAGGCTCAAAGCCAATTGTACCTGACTCCATGTGAAGAGGATGCTCTCGTTCATTTTCTTCTGCAGATGTCTGATCTCGGACAGCCGGTGCGAATCAAGTTCATCCGCTTCTTAGCCTTCTGTGTCGCCCGCCAGCGATCCGAGACCGACCGACCGCTGAAGCCGCCGGGAAAGAGCTGGACTCGAGGCTTTGAGAAACGCCACCCAGAGACGCAAGCAAGAACAGTCAAGGCGATGGACTGGAACCGCCATGAGAAGAAACTTACCCGAAGATAACGCACTGGTTTGAGGTGATAGGAAGGGAGCTCCACGACCCAGCCGTTTAGTTGAAACCTGAATTGGGAACAAGAGTGAGGGCTCTCTATCTATGCCTATTGGTCTATTATATAGCCGACTGGTGTCGTCACACAATCGTATGGGACTAAGACCATAATAGTGTTTGGCTATGCATGTCACGTGATCTGGATTCCAACTTACCGAGAGCAAGTCGAGCGATTGGAGTGCAGAGGCGTCAATACAATCGGCAAAGAGCATTTTACTTCCCTTTTCAGTCCTGCGAAGATGAAAGCCTTCACCCCGAAGAACATCACGGCAGGGTTTGCTGCAAATGTACTGTTTCCCTCCGACTCAGACAGGGTGCTCAGAAGCATGCCAAAGCCTGTCGTTAACTTAGACGTTCCAAGAGTCCACGAGGTACATGCGAGGATTTGTTCACAGAACGAGGTGCCACAAACGCCAGTCACACCAGTATCAGCAAGCGGTCTTATGTTGCTACACAACCTGATCATGAAACAGGATGCTCGTACTCTTGACGAGAGAAGGAGACAGGACCTGCAGAGACACCTGCAGAAGTATGCCAAAGCTGCACAAGTGTCCTTTGCGAAGTGCGCGCTCCAGCAGAATCATATCCGACTCTTACTAAAGGTCAACGACGAAACCAAGGTTCGGTGATCGACCAAGCCATTGATACTGGGCAGAGCAAAAGTCATGGGCTATGATGAGCGCAAGGAGGCGCGGGAAAAGCGTGCTAAGACAGAGGCGGCGACGAAAGCGAAGGGCAAGGGAAAGCGTGGTCGGAAACGCACAAATGCTGCGCCGGAAGCAGACGTGGCAGAGCCGAAGCCCAAGGCGGCGAGGGTGAGCGAAGCACGAAAGCTGCCAGTACTTGCAGATGTGCAAATCAGCGGAACAACTGTCACAAATGACGGGGCTGTATTAGAGCCATGGAGAGCCCCGGTGGCACGTATGTATTAGCAAGAGGTGAGGACGTGATGTCGCTGCTGAAGGATGAGCATCGGTCAGCTCAGGGCAGACATGAATGGCCGCAACATGGCTACACGGTAACAATGCAATAGAGTTTTACAACACTGTAGTCGTAACGCAGAAGAGCGCATTGCTGTACGCCCACGCACTTTTTACACTTACAACGCCTGACCGCACTGTCTTCGTGCTTACTGTCGTGCTCGTTCCCACGCAGCTGTGACTATGCACCCCATCTTGTCTCGTGGTGACCATGTGCGTTGTCGCGGTACCCAACCACAAAGCACCGTATCTGTGACAAGCCGATCAACCACCTCGAATAGCAAAAGTCGGACGCGTAGAGTCGAAAGAGCTGACAACGTGCTCGCGTGGAGGGACAACGGCAGTGCACCTCGGAATGGGTGACTGCGGTAAAGCGAGCGGAGGGTAGATACGGTCGACTGCACGCTGCGCAGCGCTAGCAGCTTGTCGCATGCGTCAAGGGGCAAACACCAGATGGAGGCATTGACTTGCGATATTGCGCGGTGTTGGCTGCGCAGTGTGCGACTTGCAAGGTCAGGGTTCTTAGCAAAGACCAGCGTGCTGCACGGACCGCTGAAGCTTTGCTGTCCCCTTCGCAAAATCCGGCGCTTTGGCGGCAAGCGGCAGTGGCGCCGGGTTCGTGCTTGCTTCTTCTACCCACAACATCAACACTTCCTCATCAGAAGTCCGTATTCGGCGTACAGCGAGCGACATACTCGCAGCACCGCCTTCCCCACACAGCATCAAGGCTGCAGACCATCGACGCGACCATCGCTCGTCCTGCAGGACTACCCCTTAGATCGCCTCAGCCTCAGCCTCACTATGCGAGCCGCACTCATCAGGAGCACAAAATCAGCCTACCGCTGTCAGTTGCATTCTACACTTCTTACCTCTTACTTCTGATCCTCGGGCGTAGTCAATGGAACCTTACGCCTACGAGCCGCTCGACAAAGGCGAGATCAGGCTTCTGAAATTACATCCCAAGCCCAGCATTGGACCGCTTTCTGGAACTCTACTTCGTGTGCCACTGACCAAGCCCACCTACTGTCAGGGACCTGCTGACAGCGCTTATCTTGAGCATCTCTACCCTTATGACGCGATCTCGTACACATGGGGAACAGATACAAGCACGCCGTTCAGTCTTGTGATAGACCAAAACTACATCATCGGGGTCACGGCGCATCTACACTACACTCTCGAGAAGATCGTGCAGCCCGATAAACGTGTTCTGATTTGGATCGACGCCATCTGCATCAATCAGGCAGACCGGGATTCTGAGGAGAAGAGCCAGCAGATCCGTCTCATGCCAGATGTCTATCGCTTCGCAAAGCGTGTGCAGATTCATCTCGGCCCCGAAACTGACGACAGCTCCCTTGCCATCGAGTTCATAGAGCACGTCGCGGATTACGCCGAGTTCCTAGACGAAAGTCTGAATCACCTGAATATGGAAGCTTATGCTCTTGCTCTAGAGATGGGCTTCCATCCTCCTGCGAAGGATCATAGAACATGGAGTGCTTTGCGCGCTTTCTGGACGCGGCCATGGTGAGAACCGCAATACAGTCTAAGCTTCATTGGCTAATTACGTGATAGGTTCCGCCGCATATGGGTTGCGCAGGAGTTCATCAATGGCCTTGATCCTATCATACACTGCGGAGACCTCGAGATTGATTGGAAAACGCTCTGGCTGGCTGCTGGAGTATTTCAGAGTAATGACCGCTTGATGACAACCGGGTTGTCGGCATTCACCTACCACCTTTACACGCTCGCACGGGAGGGCGCGACCTCATATCTCTTTATGGGAGACATGCGACTCCGATACTGGGGCTGCCTGAGCGAACTCACGATCACCACAGTCAGGGAACTCGATGAGACCAGACAGAGTGCTGCTTGGCTTCTTGGTCAGCGAGGTCTTCGTGATTACACTCTCACTCCAGCTCGACACGATTTGTTCGCTCTTCAGACTTACGAGCGTCTATCGAGATCAGAAGCCCTACAAAAGCGCTTCGATGGAAGCATATCGTTCAAGTCCGGCTATGCGGAATTGGTCATCATGCTCAATAGAACATATGGCTTCCTGGCAACCAACCCAGTGGACCGAATATACGCATTGCTTGGTCTGGTCCGCGATGTGAACCCAGATAACCCGGACTTCAGGATCGAATACTCGGCTGAGCAAGGTCCAGCTACAGTGTGTCAGCGCTTTGCAGCTGGTCTAATCAAACGAGGTCAAGGTGCTATCGTTTTCGGGATGGCTGGGACGACCAGGCAGATGTGTCATATCGACGAGCCTGGTTCTCCTTCCTGGGTTCCAGAATGGACCGCTGCATTGCTCCCGGGCGACTACGTAGTCTCCTTGAACTTCTCCATGCACGCTTCGGAGAGGCATGCGTCCTTATACCATGCAGCGGGCACGTCGTCCATGAATGTACGTTTTGAAGATGGGGACAACGCGCTCATTCTTCGCGGTGCTTATCTCGACTCTTTACTTCTCATTATGCCAGGTCAACTCTTCTGTCCGCCAGACTGGTACCTTGTCACTTTGTCCAATTTCGCAGGACCAGGAGCAGACGTAGCAAGGCTCGAAGACGACCTCTGGCGGACGCTTATTGCTAACAAAACTGCCAAAGGAGAAGATGCACCACCCGAGTTTGTTTTACAGTACCGAGCATACAGAGACCACGTGGTCTCCCGTTTCGGACTGGTCTGCATTGTTGCCGGTATTTTCTTCCTTGTCATGCTTCTGCCCTTGATGGTGATCACTTCGCAATGGCTTGATGATGTCAGCTTTTTCCTCATACAAACCACAGCCGCTTTGTCGGGCTGGGACAAGTCACCTCTACTGAGCCTTGCAGCTACAGCCTTGATACGTACCGACAGTTGGCTCTTGTTCCTTGTGGGGTGCTGTCTGCTGATCTGGAGAATCAAAGATCTCCTCGTCGACTATTTGAATAAGACGAGGTTCGGCTGGTCAGTGTTCTCCGGGCTCGCCTTGGTCAATCCTGGCAGCTCTACCAGTCAGAAAGGTCCACCCGAGTCCGAGGGCTTTGTGGAGAGCCTCAAGCACACTGCTGGAAGATACCACCTGGGCTACACCATGGCTGGGCGTCTCGGGCTCTTCCCACTGGCAACAGAAGTGGGCGACACGATCGTGATTCTCGAAGGAGCTTTCACGCCGTTTGTGCTAAGACCGATGGGAGATGAGGAGTATCGACTTGTTGGAGAATGCTATGTGCATGGGGTCATGAAGGGCGAGCTTTGGGACGCAGCGAGCCGCAAGCTCGAAGACTTTCGCATCGTTTGAGAGGCGTCGCCGACCTTTTCTCGGAGAATGTCGAGCAAAATAAAGAAGCTATCTGGATGATGGCCATCGAGGTCGCAAGTTCATTAGGCTGCACATTTCCACTTTCCAAATGCGGGTGTTCCGAGGGATGTGACCGGAGTCCAACCCATGCAGCTGTCAGCTCCGCCTCCGCCTCACCCTGAATTGCCCCACTTGCTGAGCGCTACCCACAGGCAGTGGCTTTGCGCGCCATGTGTCCCAGCGAGAAGCAATCGCTATATGATGGTTTCCGACTTCAACGTCATTCTTTGATGAATGCGCCGTTGGATGGCATGATCCTCCCCACTAGCAATGAGCCAACCCGTATTTCATTCGTTGGCTTTGTACAAGTATAAAGTTCTAACAGGAGTCGATTCGATTCGACTGTTACAGATCGAACGTCCCTCACACACTTCTGATGCCATCTCCTGTCTACTTACAGAGCACAACGTCGACGATCATCCTCCAAAGTACGCGGCTCTTTCTTATGTCTGGGGAATTTCACGTTCACCTAAACCAATCCTACTCAACAATCACCGGGTACACGTAATGACCAATCTATACGATGCGCTTATTCAGATTCGAGCGACCTTCCCCGGTCTCTTGTTACGGATCGACGATATCTGCATTGATCAAAGAGACTCGCAAGAAAGGAATCAGCAGGAGGCAATGATGCGTAACATCTACAGCAGGGCAACTCATACAATTGCGTGGCTTCAACCCGCGAGCTGATGAAGTGGAGTTCTTGTTCAACTACATTCAAAAGCATCGAGCAGAGTGCAAAGAGTCGAAAAAATTCCTGGAAGCACGAGCCAAATCAGTCAGCCGGCCAAGGTCGATCAATTCTCAAAGATCACTCAGACAACTTCGATCAAGTCTTCAATTGGGACTCAACAGCCGCATTCCATTGGACAGAAGTCTACGACCTGCACATCCTCCTGTCGCTTACAAAGCCTCAAGGCATCTCTGCGCAGTGAATACGAGCGCGCTCCAAGTCATCATGGATCTCAACCTCAACATCAACCCTGTTGTCTGAACGCTGACTTACTCAACGCTGTGCAAAACATTGAGGGGCAGCCATATTGGGATCGAGTCTGGATCATACAAGAGATTGTGTAAAACAGCTCCAGTTGCTCGAAGACGAGGACCAGCCTGTCGTGTTCTGCAATTTCGACGACGACCAGGAAGCGGAGGAACCAGCGGATGTTACGGCGATGCGAAGCGCTATCCAACAGTACGCAGATGGTATGGGCATATCAGGCTACGATGATGTCAATGCAGTCACTTCTGAGTTGATGCAGGCGGACAAGATGCGATTCAAGTACCCTTGGGCCAACGATCCGGGTCAACGCTGTGTACTCGGATCAATGCCCCCCATGGTGCAAGTACAAAACATCGTGGAGACTGCACGGAAGTACGATCGTGGAGCGGGTGTTTCTGAGGATGAGTGGAACTCGGAAGTCCAAAACGAACTCCTTAAACTTGCACGCAGCACGTCCAGGAACCGACGTACGCTCGACATTCATAACGTGTAAGTCTGTGTAATATACTGAATTTGTTCGTGTACTGAGAAACGCAGGAAAACGGCCAAAACTGAACCTACATGGCTCGCGCGTAACAGTCTGCCTGGCCGCGTCGTTGATTACGTCGTCACGCTCAACCGAGATACCGCTACCGAGCAAGTCTGGCGTGACCTTCGTCCACTCGAAGGTGCATCTATAAAGTCTTGGAATCACACATGTCGCGAGCGTCACAGCCCTATTGCTATCAACATTGAGACTAAGGGCCCTATGAAGTCGTGGACAGATGGCAAGCCTTAGATTGCGATCTGGACCGATGCGTGGTTAAGACGACTGACCTTGATTCGTGCCGACAATAGCAATATAGGACAGTGGCCTGCTATCCCGCTTCTGATTGCCTAAGGACATGACTGGCACTTGTTGATTGTCTCGAAGAATGACCAGAACATGACCATCAGAGAGCAAATAGCCTTTGGGAGCACGAGATCATGCTTTGATGCGTTGAAGGTAGTTGCGGTACTACATTGGCTTTTTGAATGGGCAGAGACGGTGTGGCGACCGTGGCTGTTATCGTTACCGTCTATCTAATAGGTGTGTGATGCGAACAGATTTTCAGATCAATGGTAGCTCTGTTCTATCAGTCAAAGTCTTGATGGGCCGGGAGAAAAGTTGAACAAGCAAAGCCATGAGCTGCAGCCCTACAAGGTCATCAGCGGATCCTCACGCACTATGCGCCTTGAAGCTCTGAGCGACTGAGTCTCACATATATAATACAAGAGACTTGCATTGAGTAGCCAGGCTAAGCACCGGCATTTGAGGCAGCAGACAAAACCAGCCAGGAAGGCATGTGGGTCAAGTACTTGATGACGGGAAGCGGGTGGCTGAGGAAGCGGAGAAAATTTAGCCTCCCTACTCGTTTGATACCTTGAAAATTGCGCTTGATCCTCAAGCTTGAGAAGCTGGCGTACGATACTTGCTTAGAGTACTTAAACATGTCTCGCGTTGAGGCTACTGAGTTCTACAAGATCTTGTAGTTCCGTTTCTTGGTGTGTGACACCCTTGTTTAAAGCTCTACGTCGAATCCCCTTTACGTCCAAGCTTCCTTGATCTGAGGCCTCATTGACGTCCCAAGTCTGTTGCTGCCAAGTCAGACTGAACAGGAGCCTCGAGTTTACTAAAGTCGGCACGTCATCTTTCGTTTCTCTCCACGGCCCGATGCTGGCGCCCTCGGCTGCTATCCGCTGCAGTTGAAATGCGGAGCTATTGGTCCACTGCTGATGTTTCTTGACACTATGTCCTGTGCGGCGCTAGAAAAAGAAGACTACTCTGCGGACCACGAAATCCGAGACAATACAAATGACTCCCAGTGCAATAGTGACTACTATAGCAAGGACGGAAAACGAAGTATGGGTAGCGCTGCGCACCTTGACCTGCTTGCAGAGATGGCGCAGTTCTGTTTCTTGTGGGTGCTCCATGTATTCTAGGCTTGAGACGCCGCCACTGATATTAAACTTGCTTGGACGACTGTAAGTCACGGTCCCGCGCTGTGTGTTGGAAAGAGAGACGTTTATCTAGTTTATTACTTCCATTTCCTACTGATTAGAAGGCAAGTTAGCGGACAGGGAGAAGCCAAAACCGCCGTCCCAAAGAGAGTCCTGTGCGATAAGATTCTCGTGCCTAATAAAGCCAAGCTGAAAGTGAAGTTAGCTACTTGAGAGTATTTTGGCGAGAAATTGGTAGAGGGCTGATTGCTTAGGATCCATATTGGCAAGCATGGTGCCATTCTATGGTAATTCTTTCGCAAGAAAAACATCGGGGGTTAGGCGGTAGAGGCCTGTAAGTGGTGTGCAAGAGTTGGCGGATCCGGTTTCCGTTTTACAGAATTGGTATTGCTCCTGGCACCTGAGAAACGATAGTGGATTTGCTGCCCAGCAGGTCGTCGCAACTAGCGACCCCGATAATGTGCTACAATTGTCGACAGCAAACTAAGGATCCGCAATGGGTGAGGCAAAGTCGTTCCTATTGGTCAAGCCGACGATAATTGTGTCTGCTGTTGTGTTTTATACGTCTGCAATCGGCGTGAAAGAGAACTAAGCGGGAATGGGTGGCAGGTCTAGAATATTATTAGTCCATCTGCAAGATGTTAACGTTGCTTTCTGCTGTTGGTCATTGCAGTAGGAACATCATGTGACTACCTTTGTGATTAGGGACGGGGAAATGTCTCAATCCTTGAGCACCCGCAGAGATCAAGGACTTGGAGACAATAAGAGAAACTTGCGCAACTTACTTAAGACTGTACAGTTGCTTACCAAACCTCCAATGCACTTTGTCTATAGCAGCAGTATAGTTCAAATCATTAAAAGAACTAAAAATGCTGTTCATTCGGCTAAATAAATAACCTTTAAGCCTAGTATCCAGCGGCAGACCTTGAGCAGTTAACAACGTTGGTAGCATCTGCTGCCAACCATCTATATACTGTTCGCCAGCTAAAGGTACACATGTGAGAACTTTCCGCATAGACAGGGCATCCTTAGAGCGTGTATTCATTCTAAAATAGCTGTTAGAGCGCAAATAACCTATATCAAGTAACATAGCAGAGCTGTTACATGCTCTGCTAGCGAATAGACATAGAACGTTCCTTTAAACGATATAGGGCAATGTTAGTAGGATATAATTTTTACATGCTGTTAACTTATCTCTAAAGCGACTATAACAAGACTAAGAGTAACTCGCACTTCTGCGGTAAACATTTCGTGCTATCACAGAGATTGCATTTACTGATTCAAAGACACCACTAGACAATATTAAGGAGCTGTTCCCGAGAGTAGGCTCCTTAAACCAGCTGCAGTGTTTGGACATGCTTAAAACGCTCGAATCGTGGGCGCGGATAATTCTGCTCAACACGCCGCTTATAAAAGCAAACGCGATAGTATATAGGCCAGCAAATAGAATTAAGGCAAGACCTTTCTAAAACATCCTAGGTCGTCCGCCCTGGTGTGCCCACAAGACCTTAGTTAGCTAGGTGATAAAGGTCGACTTGCTTTCTGTGTTGTGGAGCACTAGCTGCAATTAGTGGTATAAAGCATCTCGAGGCTTAGTAGAAGCACTAAACTAGTGGATAGTGAACTTAATAGTTCCCTATAGGTAGCCGCTGGACAGTTTGATGAATAAGGTGAAGAAGCTGACAAGGATGAGGCCCCATTGGGTTGGGAGTGTTAAGGTCCCTCGATGATTGTAGGTATTGCCTTTAGCTAAGTGTTAGGATAGGATCATTAATAGACCAATACCTTACCCTTGTTGTTCTAGAAGCCACAATAGACTGCATCGTAGTTCTACCACATCACTATCTTGCCGTTGTAAGATGAAGCGAATTCGGCAGCGAAACTCTTAAATGGTAGTTGCTGAGCCTATTCGTACATCTATGCTGCTAGGTTTCTTGCTTTCAGGACGAACAACAGCTTATAAGCGGATAGCGCAAGCATTGTCATTTGCTTAATCTTACTATAAACAGGTGCTGCTGTTTCTATTGGTACACTAATGCAGGCTTCTAGTTAGGGTGTGTTAACAGCTAAAAAGAAGCAAACTAGTCTGCAGCCTAGAACTAGCATCTCTCCGCTCGCTTAAGCCTTATTAATTGCATAACTCTTTAGTAAGCTAACTCAGTCTCTTAATGCACACTACAAATTTAATTGCCGCACTAATTAGAAACAGGAGATCTATTAGTGCAAGGCAAACTTAGTCGCGGCTAAGTGCAAAATTGGTTACAGTTAAGTAAATGCTCGGCCTTCGGCCCTATTGTGTTCCAGCCTAGTCATTCTTTTAGGTAGATCTGCCCCCTCGTGTTTCTGTTTCGGTAACCTAGCCCCTAATTAACCCCCTGCACTAACCTATCATAGGTAACCTCTATCTTCCATTACCTACCATAACTCTATTATAGAGACAGAGCTATGCCGCGTAGTTATAGGAGAAGGGAGGTTTAGTATAGCAGCGGAGGTCACGCAGTCAAGACATCTCTAAAGGGGCAAGTGCAGGGGTAGTAGTAGCAGAGTCAATCCAGGACTAGTACAAAAGAGGGCAAAAACATTAAGGAAACTTGTCAGTTTGCTGCCATGTAGGAACACATTAAGGCAGCTAAGGAGGCGCATCTCAGAGACCTTAAGAAGCGCATAGCAATGATACGACATCTTATTAACACTATAGGCCTAGACGTAAATGCACCTAACAAACCCCCTAGATCTCAATATATTTATATGCGATGTGGCACACTAATAGAGTATATTGCAACCTACAGTAATGTGGACAGAGACACCTAGGATATAACGTGGCTGCTCCTTGATAGAGGTGCAGCTCCTACTCCGACGTTTCGCTTCCTAGGCAGGATGTTGCTGTCCTGAGTTTGTTAAGGATGTTAAAGTCTGGAAGAGAGCGCGTAAGGCAAGGCCTAACTACCGCGTGCAATAATGTAGTGGGCAAGGATTATAGTTTAAGGCAGTATTACACAGAGAAAATTATGGTATTTGATATAAGACATTTCCTTGTGTCACTTGCACCTTCCCTTCTAATGATAAGGCTTTCCCGCAATCTCGAAGCAAACACGAGAAACCGCATAGACTCTTCCTTAAACTAGGCGCTAGGCTACTTGGATTTCTTGGTTTGTGCTTGGGAGATCTTCAACGAGTTTTAGATCCTGAATGTAGCCAGGAGCTAGTTGAATATTGAACAGTCCCTTCTAAATATTCTGCACTTTTGTGGCGGCAGACTACTACAGGTGTCAGCACAATTGTTATAGCGTCTTGTGCACTGTACAACTGTTCTAGCCGCACAGGCAAGTATTCTAGCAAAAAAGCTTGAGTCGGCGTTCAGCGCATATAAAGCACCCTTTAAAATACCATCTGACTTCCTTGCGTTGTCTTTACTAGCCAAAATGTTAAATAGCCTTTCGATACCCACATCTACGATAAAAAGAAACCTATGCTAACGTGTTTTACAAGCGAGTGCGCATTACAAGCAAGTGCGCACCCCACCAACTTTCTGCAACGCGTGAACTCCTAGCTGTCATAGCACCCCCAACTTAAGCCCAGCCAGCTTCTTATAAGGCTAATATACACCTTACTATCTTAGTTCTTTAGCAAAACCAATTTCAGAGTAAGGCAGTTGCTGCACAGACGTTTAATGTCTCTTAAGATACACTCCACCGCCAACGCACTAGCAAGCCTGCCTAACGCGATTGCCAGCCTAACTTAAAGAAACTTACCTAGCTAGAAGAGGAGGCAATTGTTAGATATATACTTAACCTAGATTAATATAGATTTACGCCTACATACGCAGCTATACGTAATATAGCAAATAAGCTACTTACTACACGCAGCGCAGGTTATATTAGCATTTAATAGCTACGCAACTTTATTAAGCATATAGATAGTCTTGTAACGCGTTTTAATTAAGCATATAATAGGTAGAGAGCTCTATACAAAGATCCTATATTAATTAGAAGCTGGTTTAAGCTTATAGAGCAGATAAAGGCTAAGTATAGCATCTGCAATAAGGACG